AGTCCATTTTGTAGGAATAGAAGCTTGTTGAAGTCGAGGTATCTTAGCTCACTATGGCTAACATTTCAGCACGATGATCAGGGCGGCTTTGGTGAAGTGTGACAGTGGCTGGTTTCATGCGGAGGCGGTTGCGAATTGTGTGTGTGTGTGCGGTAAGAACAGAGCGGAAGGCGAGTGGTTATTGGGAAATGTTGTGTAGTGGTGTTGTTATAATCGTTCTTCTGCCTGTGCGGTCGTCGGTGTCGTCTAGTGGTTAGGACGTGAGCTTCACACGCTGGAGATCGAGGGTTCGATCCCCTCCTCCGATATTTGATTTCTTGCTGGACCATTCATCTGCTCTTTTCTGATTAAATGAGCTCCACTCTGGCCAGGTTCGATGGCTACACTGGCGGTGACCACAGCGGGAAATATCGAAACTCTGTGTCCAAGGTAAACAAGGATCACCGTCTTGTTCGCAAGCTGAGATTAATCTGGTATGCGTGAGACACCCACTGGATGGTATGACATTGCCATCTTACGCGGAGGTTTACGTGCGGTACGAGCAACGGTAAAGGCGTGCGGTGGACGACTGTATGTAGCTCAGATGGGGTTCGTGTCATGTACATCGCGACTAATGTGTCAGTCGACAGGTGTTGCTGCGGGGCAACGTGGTGACATATCTCAGCAGTGGACGTTCAAGACAGCTTATCCGAGCGGTTGAAGCGACAGCTCAAAATCTGGTGGGGTAACCCGCGTGGGTTCAAGTCTCACAGCCGTCGATGTCATTGCCAACGACAGTTGCCACACAACAACCCCCTTCGGACATTGCTTTGGATAGTAGCGCTTTGTTACAACATGAACGCCTTGACCCTGTCGATGCATCTGTAAGAAAGAGAGCCCATGGAGGCAATGTAATAATGTGGTGTCAGCTCATGATACCATCATTTGTAGGCGACGACAAAACGTTTGAATAGTTCGACCAACTGGTTCAGAGGGCCCAGAACCGCATGTGGCGATTGTTGAAGCCGGTACGCATAACTAAAGCTTGCAGAATTTCAAAATACGATTTGGGGATGATGGGACTGCGAGGACAGCTTGGCCGAGTGGTTAAGGCGATAGACTAGAAATCTACTGGGGCGACCCGCGTGAGTCCAAATCTGGCAGCTGTCGGATACATTTGGTCGTGCAGGGCGTTTATACACCACTCACAGACATCTGGCGTCTACGCACGATGCTTTGTCTTGCCTGCCAAGATCACAGTATTGAAGATGGGTGTGTCTTGCTCACAGTCTCATCACTTGAAGCCCTTTCCTGATATCCACCTGTATTCGGGCGCTCAATACCCGCACCGATACCCTTGGTTCCAGCCCAGTAATCAGACTGGATGTGCATGCCATCCACTGGATGAAGATCTGAAGCAAGGATTCAGTCATGGGGAACGGGCACACGTGGCAACAGCTACACCACGATAACGTGAATGGAAGAGAGCTCATCGTGTGTAGGCGCGAGAGAGATGGTACATCGACTGAATCCAAGTGGCAAACGTTCGATAGTCCATGGTATGAGATCTCTTGGATGGTCACTAGCGACCACTTTCAGGCAGCAGTCCATTTTGTAGGAATAGAAGCTTGTTGAAGTCGAGGTATCTTAGCTCACTATGACTAACATTTCAGCACGATGATCAGGGCGGCTTTGGTGAAGTGTGACAGTGGTTGGTTTCATGCGGAGGCGGTTGCGAATTGTGTGTGTGTGTGCGGTAAGAACAGAGCGGAAGGCGAGTGGTTATTGGGAAATGTTGTGTAGTGGTGTTGTTATAATCGTTCTTCTGCCTGTGCGGTCGTCGGTGTCGTCTAGCGGTTGGGACGTGAGCTTCACACGCTGAAGATCGAGGGTTCGATCCCCTCCTCCGATATTTGATTTCTTGCTGGACCATTCATCTGCTCTTTTCTGATTAAATGAGCTCCACTCTGGCCAGGTTCGATGGCTACACTGGCGGTGACCACAGTGGGAAATATCGAAACTCTGCGTCCAAGGCAAACAAGGATCACCGTCTTGTTCGCAAGCTGAGATTAATCTGGTATGCGTGAGACACCCACTAGATGGTATGACATTGCCATCTTACGCGGAGGTTTACGTGCGGTACGAGCAACGGTAAAGGCGTGCGGTGGACGACTGTATGTAGCTCGGATGGGGTTCGTGTCATGTACATCGCGACTAATGTGTCAGTCGACAGGTGTTGCTGCGGGGCAACGTGGTGACATATCTCAGCAGTGGACGTTCAAGACAGCTTATCCGAGCGGTTAAAGCGACAGCTCAAAATCTAGTGGGGTAACCCGCGTGGGTTCAAGTCTCACAGCCGTCGATATCATTGCCAACGACAGTTGCCACACAAAAAACCCCTTCGGACATTGCTTTGGATAGTAGCGCTTTGTTACAACATGAACGCCTTGACCCTGTCGATGCATCTGTAAGAAAGAGAGCCCATGGAGGCAATGTAATAATGTGGTGTCAGCTCATGATACCATCATTTGTAGGCGACGACAAAACGTTTGAATAGTTCGACCAACTGGTTCAGAGGGCCCAGAACCGCATGTGGCGATTGTTGAAGCCTGATGTATAACTAAGGCTTGCAGAATTTCAAAATACGATTTGGGGATGATGGGACTGCGAGGACAGCTTGGCCGAGTGGTTAAGGCGATAGACTAGAAATCTATTGGGGCGACCCGCGTGAGTCCAAATCTGGCAGCTGTCGGATACATTTGGTCGTGCAGGGTGTTTATACACCACTCACAGACATCTGGCGTCTACGCACGATGCTTTGTCTTGCCTGCCAAGATCACGGTATTGAAGATGGGTGTGTCTTGCTCACAGTCTCATCACTTGAAGCCCTTTCCTGATATCCACCTGTATTCGGGCGCTCAATACCCGCACCGATACCCTTGGTTCCAGCCCAGTAATCAGACTGGATGTGCATGCCATCCACTGAATGAAGATCTGAAGCAAGGATTCAGTCATGGGGAACGGGCACACGTGGCAACAGCTACACCACGATAACGTGAATGGAAGAGAGCTCATCGTGTGTAGGCGCGAGAGAGATGGTACATCGACTGAATCCAAGTGGCAAACGTTCGATAGTCCATGGTATGAGATCTCTTGGATGGTCACTAGCGACCACTTTCAGGCAGCAGTCCATTTTGTAGGAATAGAAGCTTGTTGAAGTCGAGGTATCTTAGCTCACTATGGCTAACATTTCAGCACGATGATCAGGGCGGCTTTGGTGAAGTGTGACAGTGGCTGGTTTCATGCGGAGGCGGTTGCGAATTGTGTGTGTGTGCGGTAAGAACAGAGCGGAAGGCGAGTGGTTATTGGGAAATGTTGTGTAGTGGTGTTGTTATAATCGTTCTTCTGCCTGTGCGGTCGTCGGTGTCGTCTAGTGGTTAGGACGTGAGCTTCACACGCTCAAGATCGAGGGTTCGATCCCCTCCTCCGATATTTGATTTCTTGCTGGACCATTCATCTGCTCTTTTCTGATTAAATGAGCTCCACTCTGGCCAGGTTCGATGGCTACACTGGCGGTGACCACAGTGGGAAATATCGAAACTCTGCGTCCAAGGCAAACAAGGATCACCGTCTTGTTCGCAAGCTGAGATTAATCTGGTATGCGTGAGACACCCACTGGATGGCATGACATTGCCATCTTACGCGGAGGTTTACGTGCGGTACGAGCAACGGTAAAGGCGTGCGGTGGACGACTGTATGTAGCTCGGATGGGGTTCGTGTCATGTACATCGCGACTAATGTGTCAGTCGACAGGTGTTGCTGCGGGGCAACGTGGTGACATATCTCAGCAGTGGACGTTCAAGACAGCTTATCCGAGCGGTTGAAGCGACAGCTCAAAATCTGGTGGGGTAACCCGCGTGGGTTCAAGTCTCACAGCCGTCGATGTCATTGCCAACGACAGTTGCCACACAAAAAACCCCTTCAGACATTGCTTTGGATAGTAGCGCTTTGTTACAACATGAACGCCTTGACCCTGTCGATGCATCTGTAAGAAAGAGAGCCCATGGAGGCAATGTAATAATGTGGTGTCAGCTCATGATACCATCATTTGTAGGCGACGACAAAACGTTTGAATAGTTCGACCAACTGGTTCAGAGGGCCCAGAACCGCATGTGGCGATTGTTGAAGCCTGATGTATTACTAAAGCTTGTAGAATTTCAAAATGCGATTTGGGGATGATGGGACTGCGAGGACAGCTTGGCCGAGTGGTTAAGGCGATAGACTAGAAATCTATTGGGGCGACCCGCGTGAGTCCAAATCTGGCAGCTGTCGGATACATTTGGTCGTGCAGGGCGTTTATACACCACTCACAGACATCTGGCGTCTACGCACGATGCTTTGTCTTGCCTGCCAAGATCACAGTATTGAAGATGGGTGTGTCTTGCTCACAGTCTCATCACTTGAAACCCTTTCCTGATATCCACCTGTCTTCGGGCGCTCAATACCCGCACCGATACCCTTGGTTCCAGCCCAGTAATCAGACTGGATGTGCATGCCATCCACTGGATGAAGATCTGAAGCAAGGATTCAGTCATGGGAAACGGGCACACGTGGCCACAGCTTCACGATAACGTGAATGGAACAGAGCTCATTTTTGCATCCTACTGATAACCCCTTGATTTTGCCGTAAGCAGATGGCACGTGCAATCGTCCTTAGCGCTAGCACTTACGGTAGCACGGGGCAGTCCTGTACTTTACCACAGAAGTATCGCAGGTCACTTGAATGTCGTGGGTACATAATGAGTTTATGTCAGATCAATCCACACCCCCAATGGTGTGTACACACCAGTCACGTGTGACCCCATCACATGCTACATCACTTGTGCGGCGTGAAAAGCACATCTCGTGTTATTTACAGATACACTAGACAAAAAGTAGGTTTGAACATTTCGGCATTCACCTGGCGCTCAGTCCCTAACAGCTTCTTTCACCCCAGGGCTCGCAAAAGACAACACTTAGCCATGGACGCCGACATTGAGCGGATTAAGCGCGCTCACGCCAAGAACCTCGCGTATATCCAACAGTAAGAGTCCCTCTTGCTTTAAACTGCTTTAGTTGCATTCATTCTTCTCCTCTGTGCTCCGCTTCTAAACAGACAGGACGAACGTGAAGCTTCTCGGGCGGTGGATGACCTACTGGCGTCCGCTGTATCCACAAAGTCAAGTATCAACCCACTAAAGGGAACGAAGGGAATCAGCAGTGTTTATATTACTGGCCTTTCAACGTACATGGCTTGCAGACAGCTCGGTCTGTAGTCTCTTCTATGTGTTTCGACGCAGGGGGAGAGAGGTGGTAGCTGAAGCACTAACAATTGTCGTCACTGCTGTTGTAAAATGATTGATTGGACAGAGGGGGTGTGCTCTCGAATTGGCAAAGTGCGACGTATCAAGTTCTACAGGGATGAACGAGGAGGACTCAAGGGTGACGCCGTGGTGACGTTCAACTCACGTGCTACGATGATCAAGGCCGTGGACAGGGTAAAGCTTCTACTGCTGGTTCCTGTTGGTGCATGAGTTCGGATAGAAGAGTCTCTCTTGATGCACTTTCAACTTGCTGCGTACGTCGTTGGTGCGACGCTTGTTGCTCATTCACGTCTCGTACCTTGTTACGCAGCTGAACCACTTTGAGGTGAAGCCAGGCGTGATCATCACGTAAGAGATTGATTCGTACAGTGTGAAGGCTCGGAATGCTCATAGTTTGTGTTTATATCGATGGAATAACAGAGCGACGGAAGCTACTTTCTCGAGTAAAAGGGTGAAGGATGTACAAGAGAGCGAAGGGACGGTCGGCGATCATCTAGGAGCAGCAGCGGCGTCGATGGAGGATAGTTTAGCAGAGGTCGTGCCGCCCTTGCACTTGCCGTCGCGCTCGGTTACCTTGAAGCATGTCTGGGATCCTCTGGATAGCAGCAATACTGCTTTTTTTACCGAGTTGGAGGAAGATATGCGCGGGGAATGTGCAAAGCACGGCGTGGTGGAACACGTGCAGATTGTAGCGGATGGGTCTGTGGTCGTGCGCTTTGCAGAGTTAAAATCGGCCATCGCTTGCATGAAAGTGATGAATGGGCGCTGGTTTGCTGGATCCAAAATTGAGGCGCAATTTGATCAGACGACGGCGGAAAACCCTAGTGATGCGGATACCAAAGTTGAGGCTTTCCTGGCCTCTATTGGTGAGTAATGTCTGAACGGTGCGAGGTAAGTCGAAATTGCATAGGTGCTCATAGGCTTCGTAGCAGTTTATATCATAATTGCTTGTGTACTGACGATGATGGAAAACTACGGATCGTACTCAACGAGAAGTCGAGCGTGGCTACTCGAGCGACTCTCAAGCCAGCGTTTATGTGCAGGAGCGTAAACGGATTCGACGACTGTCGGTTACATAGCAGTGGAGCAGAAGTGGCGGCCTTTTTGCTGGAACAGAGATGCTGATGGGGCAGCCAAGTCTCTGTTGTGTTATAATTCGAGCGTGCAGGTTGGGTACATGCTGTTGCTCTCGTTACCACTGTTCTACGTGAAGTAACAATATTAGATACAGCGCAACTAACACGACCGCATGTCAGCTTCCATTTCGCAGAAGAGGCGATGGCGTGTCCGATGCAACCAAATGTCGTTCGCCTTGTCGGCCCTGATCTCTTTACGTATTACAACCCGGACACTAATACACTGGCTGTACTGTTTTTGTAGTAAGCATGTTCGAGTTAGCGTCCTAGTGCTCTGGTTTACTTCATTTTAGTGACACGTGCGCACGACTCTGTTGACGCAATCAAGTATTACTGTTTGAACGGTTACATTGGGGGTGGGGGTGACAGAACGCACGTCAAGACACGCGGGATAGAAACTCGGATCATCCACGTGTCGTTCGCCCTATTTCTAACACACAATAATGGGCGCCAATGTGGCCAAACCCGCGGAACCGCTCGACCCGTGCGCGGACGCAATGAAGGCCTACGTGAAGTAAGTGCTCTCGACGACTTTAGTCTCACGTTAAAATGGACAATACACTTAGCCACTTTTTGCTCCTGTGTGCAGGTGCGTGGAGGCAAAGACCGCTGAGAGCGGGGGACTGCGTGATGGCGAGGAGTGCGAGAAGGAAAGTGAGGCGTATCGCGAGTGCAGGCGCAAGGCCAAGGAGCTGAAAGCCGCGGTCAAAAAGTGAACGGGTCGAGAGAAAACGCTCGTAGAAAAGACGTTGAAGCGCTTAAATCGCTGCTTTGCATGACTCCACACTCCACGTGAGGCTGGCTGGCTGCCTACCTGCCTGCGAGTCGGGCGTTTCCGTCTTCTTCTCCACAACTACAAACTAAATACGAGCCTTCGTTTGCCAGTTTGATGGCTCAGAAGCTCTCGATGCACTCACTCAAAGCTCCGACCCGACGGTCTGTCTCCGCGTCGACTGGACACAGCGGCCGGGTCGCCCTCGTCATCACTGTAGCCGAAACTAGAAGACGCCGTCTTGATCCCGACGGTGTACTTGTTGCTCACACTGCTTGGAATTGACTCCTCTGCAGCAGTTTTATTGCGCACCACGTGCACCAGACCGACGCCTCGAGACGACAAGTTGCTGACTCGGGACGAAGCCTTGCTACTGCTGCTGTAGTTGAGGCTGTACGACGAGCGCGAGCCAGTCGAGTCGTTATCATGGCGGTGATGCTGCCGTTGTCGACGTTGAGACAGAACCTGAATGTCCATTGGCATGAACGCATCAGGAATGAGCTGCTCCGAGTTCGAGAGGATGGAGGCCACGGACGAGTCCGTTGCAGTGGACAGAGAGTGTTTGCGCTCACGCAGTACCGACCGGTCAACTGGTCGAGCAAAGTCTTTACATTCGTGATGCTGCTTCACAACGGGGAATCACATGAGCCAAAAGGTCCACACGAGGTTCGTGGAATCTAAAAGATCGACAACGAACGACGCACGCACGCACCCGCTGCACGTCGTAGTCGCTGTTAGAGGTGCCCAAGCCGCACATGGAGAGGCTGTTGCCCATTTTTTTACAATACTACCACTGTATCAGCTAGTTAGTTAGTCGATCCGTCCGTCCGTCCGTGCGTCCGTCCGTAAACCTCTCTGCTAATGCTCCCCACAGAGCTCGTTCGCTACTGTCAAAAGGCCAACAGTCGTCCAATACTGACTCGACCGTATCAGACGAGACAGGATCGTCTCTTCCCACAAAACACACACACACAAGTTGAAGCTCACAGCGGCTTCTATTGGAGGCGTCGAGGGTACCCTCCCAGTGTACCCTCCGTGTACCAAACTGGATTTCAATCTGCGACAGTGTGTGACTCGCACGATTCTTCATCCAGGCGGCAGTAATGGCTCTGCGAGTGCGGCGCTGGAGCGACATCGAGCCGCGTCGACGGCCTCGGCATCAAGCTGTGTACGCGACTTGCACGCCTCGTCTCGCACCTGCTGCATCTGCCGCTTCTGACGCTCAACCGCGAGCCGCTAGCAGCCAAAACGTGCCCCTGGCGGTGCTCGAAGACGCCCCCGAGTGCGTCATTTGTCTGGACGAGCTCGTGCTGGGCCGCGCCCTGTTCACGGCCGAGTGCGGCCACCGCTTCCACTTCAGCTGCTTGCTGGAGAACGTCAACCACGACGAGGCCAATTCGGACAAGTGTCCCATCTGTCGGAAGCCACAGACTCAGTGGCCGGAACAGACAGAAGGGCTTGTGAAAGCGCATCCGTACTGTACGCTATCATTGTTGTTGGTATTATTGCAATACTTGTGGACGATTTGGCTGGAAATTGGAAACAACAACGGACCTTTTCTGGTCTTTTGTGATGATGACGATGATGACCATTTGTTTTCTTTTTTTCGATTATTTTGGGTACGCTGTAGGTACAAATTGTGGCAAACGAGGATCAGGCGGTCAATTCTGTGACGGGTGTGGTCAATCGTTGGCGCACACGCCCACAGCTCAAGAACGAGCTCGAGCAGCTGCTGCTGCTGCAGCTGCAAGGAGCAATGTGGTGGTCGAGTGCCCGACTTGTCGCATTCGCTGCCTCGTGAACACCACGGCACGCGGCACTTTGCAGTGTCCGAATGGCCATCTCTTCCAGTTGCGACTGCCACCGACCATGGGCAATTCACACGGTGCAAGGCAGAGTTTTACTGGAGGAGCAGCGTCCTTGACTTCTGGACCGAGGCCGATTATGCGTCAATGCCCCACATGCTACACGCGCGTCCAGATGCCCCCAGGCAGCCAAGCTGGCCAGTACATGTGTCCTCATGGACACACGTTTTACTTTTCTCCGTTTCAATAGATGCTGCGTGTGCTGCGCGTTGGCAGCTGATTTTTATTGTTCGTTGATAATTTGAACAGGTAGGATGCATTTCTCCTGTTCGAGTGTGGCGACTTATTGAAGTGATGTTTGAGCATTGACGAGAGTGGAAGTGATGCACCTCTCGAGCTTCTTACCAGTGCTTGTGTATTGGTACAGCAACAAAGCTTTACGGTTTTGTCTTGACAGGAGAGCCAAAAGCTTGTACATCAGCAGTGTGCTGTTGGCTGTTCGCTGGTAGCGAGCAAACATGTGTGTCACCGGGGACGGGTACGCGAGTGCGGCAATAAGAAGTGTTATTCAGTTGTAAGCTCAGGTGCGACGCAGGACTGATAAGCCGATTTTGCAAGCTGGCGAGCAATGAGAGGTACGCGGAAAGCATCCAAGTCAACTGCAGTTTACCTGCCGCCGCCTCTCGACGAGGCTGTGGGGCATATCTCGCGGCTGTCTAGGCGGAGATCAGAGCAGTCGCTTCTTCGCCTATCGTGCGAGCATTGGTACTACCAGCCTCTGGCAGTGGATTGTTTTGCGGATGGGGTGGGTGTGGAACCTTACAAACGTAGATGCAGTGGAGGAGACATATAGGATCTTGCAACCTTCAAGCAGTTCAAGGGTGTAATTGGGGTCACGGAGCTAGTGTCCCAGGATCCATAATTTTCATGCCAGTACGATGACCTGGCTTATAGCAGCTACGGCGGTACTGGCATCGATCAATATTAGCTCACAATCGAGTTAAGACTTGGTCGTGATGTTGCAGAGAGATGACGAAATTGTCAAGCTGATTCTGGCTGCTTACGGACCGTTTGTTCTGATCGCCGCTCGAGTCGACGAGGGCTGCTTGCAGCTGATGACCAAGTGTGAACGTTCTCTGATGTGTGTCTACGAGTGCCGTCAAAAGCGCGGACGCAGGATGAAGATAAAGACGTCGCTATTTGTCTATATTTGATCGTGGCGTGCCGAGCTCGCATCCACTGACGAGATATCGCGCAGATAGTCTTTAACAAAAGCGTACTCATGAGATCAGGCGCACGTTTAGGCACACAACGGACACCACCAGTTGAGTCTGCACATCCTCTGGTTGTCGGATCTGCAGATGAGGAGCAACGTAAGGATGCAGCTCGCAGGAAGCGATACAAGTTACGATTGAGTCACTCATCTATAGTCCCGATCTGCAAGTACCTGACACGAATTCACGATGTGTTGAACAAGAATTGGCTTCGTTCCTACTGCAACTACCAATGCCTTTGAGTTTGATCGTCTTGACCCTGTAAGATCGAGTTAAACCGTCCCAAGGTGGTCATTGCGACGATCGAGCGTTTTTATGATGGCCAGCCGTCGTGTGCATCCAATAATCACGACTTCTCTGGGCATGTCGTTCTATACTGACGCCAAGTGTGATTTGCACGGTTGAGCTCTAGGATGACAGTTGAAAAGTGGAGAAAACTGTCAATTGCACGACTGTTTATTCATGTTGAAACTGCTCGTACTTTAGTCGGCACAAAAAACCTACACCCTGCGCGTCCTAAAACGCGCGCACTTACTTCACGCACTTACTTCACGCAGTTACTTCAGTCGCCTCCGAAGGCAACGTGGTCACACTTTAGAGCTCAAAATGCACGGCGACCTCCGCGGCTTCTGTACGTTCTTTGTGCCCCTGCTATTCGTCTCTCCCTCCTGTTAAGAATACTCACTCTGTGTCGTGCACGTGACAGACGGAGCGCCTGTGACGTACGCTTTCTCGCTGGTAGTAGGCGCTGCGAGCTCTGCCAGTTTGTTACTGGACCGCGGCCAGCTCCTGTCGCTGGATAGAGACGCCGTTCTCACTCGTTCTCAGTATTGGCGGCTGGTTTCGAGTCAATTGACGTTCCATCAGTAGGTCTTTTAGTCCTGCTTTTTGTGTGGATTCGCTATCGTGATATTGCAATACGACACTAACTCGATATTCCGTAGTGGGCTCGCAGTCTCCCTCGGTCTCTACGTCGTGTTTCAGTTTCGCATCTTGGAACGTCTGCTGGGCTCTCGGAAGTTCAGTAGCATCGTAGTTTACGTGCTGCTGACTTCGGGTGCGCTGGAGCTGGCGGCGCTGACGATGGCCCCGTCGTGGCTATCGAAGTCCATTGCGGGAGGACCTTATTCTGTTCTCGGAGCTTTTGCTGTTTACTTTTACAGTAGGATGAGTGCTTTTTATCCGAGAAGCTCTCGAGCGTGTGGACTAATGAGGTTCTGTTTGGTATTTAGAATTTATTCCAAAGTTGCAGCCGCGGACGTTCAGTGTGTGGGGTCTGCACTTTTCGGACAAGTCAAGCACGTATCTGCTTATGCTGGTGGTACGGCAGATGTTGTTTGGATGCGGAGGTATGTATTGTTGAGCTGAGCTGGCAAGTTTGTGTATTGTTTGATCTATTTCAGCTGCTAGCGCATGACTTCCGTGCGCTGGTTCCTTTTTTGGGCGGATCGTTTATCGGGCTTCTGTTCAACACGACGCCACTGGGACGACTGCGACTGCCATCGTTTGTGTGTTCGATGTTTAAGCTGCTGCACCCGCTTTTTGAGGTCGTTCCCCCGAGTACGTTGGCTCTTCGACGACAGCGGGCGGCGCTTGAAGCGCAGCGTCGTCTGAATGCACGTTATAACCTGGACCGCCCAGTTGCGCAGGCCGTAGAAGGCCGAGGTTTCCGTGATCAGTTGCTGCCAGGTGCAGGTGGGATACTACCCGGCGGTGGATTTCCAGTGGCTGCCGGCGACGGCATGTTGCCTCCTCACATGGCTGCCACACCTCCGTCTGAAGATGCGATCCAGCAGCTCATGGTAAGAAGGGGTCAAAGTACAAATGCGATATGTATGGCTAAGTGTTAAATCTTGTCTGTGGTACTAGGTGCTTGGATTTGATAGAGACCGTGCACTGCAAGCACTTCGAACCGCGGATAACAATGTGGAGGCGGCTGCAAATCGGCTCTTGAATGGATTGTAGACGAGAGATAAAGCATATATCGCCGATTTGTCTGAAAGTATGTGAAGAGGAGTTTGCTGATGAGCCCATGTCTTGTATCCGTTGAGGTGCCTGTGCACAATGTAGTTTTTTTTGGTCGCTTCGATTTGCTCCGTCTGCTGTCCAGTTCTGGCTACGTGACGAAGCGGCGAAAGCTGGCATGGTTTGTTATAAGGTATCAAGGCCAATTAGTGACTCATCCATTAACCATAGCAAGTTACTGACAAGAAGGATGGATGTCAACTGCTTACCTAGAAAATGGAGTCAATGGTTTATAATTCATATTTAACGGTATCCACCACTCATAATAACGGAGACAACGAAATGTCTCCCACCAAGTTACCATGCCCTTATCGCTTGACCTAATTTTTATTGTGGAACTTTGTAAGCGATACCTTAACCATAATCGTATTTAGCGACCCGTACTTACCATTTTCTTCTCTCGTACAGACGCTTCTCTTTTCACTGCAAGTAAAAACGAAGTCAACCTCTCACGACAATCAAATGTTCTTCCTGTGCGACCATCCTTCCCAGGACTGAAATAGGATGCCCCAAACGGTGACTTGACTTCGGTATGTTATTCTATGATTCGCATTGTCAAATGCACAAGGTAAGCAGTTGATATCCATCCTTCTTGTCAGTAACTTGCTATGGTTAATGGATGAGTCACTAATTGGCCTTGATACCTTATAACAAACCATGCCAGCTTTCGCCGCTTCGTCACGTAGCCAGAACTGGACAGCAGACGGAGCAAATCGAAGCGACCAAAAAAAACTACATTGTGCACAGGCACCTCAACGGATACAAGACATAGGCTCATCAGCAAACTCCTCTTCACATACTTTCAGACAAATCGGCGATATATGCTTTATCTCTCGTCTACAATCCATTCAAGAGCCGATTTGCAGCCGCCTCCACAAGCTGAGCCCGAGTGCTTTTTTCACAGTTCATGTGTTGTTGTCCCTCAAAACCGGGAGCAATGACGACTTTATACATGAAGCAGTGTTTGTAAACAATACGAAAGGTTCAAATAATTATTCGAAAAACATGTAGCACTAACCAAGGTCAAAGCGCACAGCATCGCGTCATTTAAATTCTGCGCTTTGTTTCTCGAAGCCAAAGTTCTCTATCAGGTGCTCATTTTTTACGCTTCGTACACTTTCCCCCTGATTCTGGCTATCCTTCTACTTGCTGTCGCTGGATCGTCGTACTGACCATCATTATTCTCCAGCAACTGAGGATAAGACATGACGAGTGGAGCAAGAAGAGTGTAAGCATTTGAATTTGAATAGTGGGCGCCTAGTGGTCGCATACATCACTCGCCAAGACTTGGTACAGTGTTGCATCCTTGGTGGTATTTTCACCAAGACCTTGCAGTTATAAAGACAGCCCACGATCGTAGAGACGATCGCCTTTCCTTGACCAGGTTTTTAGATTCAATCCCTTCCATGTCATGGACCGATCTTGGGTCCAAAGTCGTCCTCTTTGGATAGCGATGGGTCGCTGCAGAAGAGGCCGATAGTAAAGAGCCCGAGTACGTTTCCCAATTATTCCTCACGTTCCTCATTCTGCAATCTTCCACGATAGATGCAATGAAAATTTACTTACGGACGCGTGCCAGACGCGTCTGTAAGAAAAGTCTTTTTCTATTTTGTGTTCTTAGTTTTCTACAGCTCTTTGCAATATCATCATCCATCTTCTTTACGCGACTTCGTCGATTGCAGATACAGGACACGAGCTTCCCATTCAAGATGAAAACAAGCTCAGTGATGAAGACCGGAACGGCGAAAGGCGGGTTCTTGAATTTATTCACCAAATTGCACAGAAAGGAGCGAGTTATCTGCAGCGTACAGTACCATTAACCATCCGCGCACGCATTAAGCGCCAGATTTTTAAGGAGTGGAAAATGCGGTTGACAAAGGCTACGAGCAATCCCGGACTTGGGACGGTTGAAGACCACATCACCAAACTGAAAGCATTCAAGCGAACCAAAAAAAACAGGACGAGCTATGGATAAAGCTTTTCCAGTGGCATCGCTTACGCAGAGAACACCGCGGTCACTACTTATTACAATTTTGTTTGGAGTGAATGATAGCTTCTATACCACAACAACTAGTTGGTGTATGGCTGGAAGCGGGCATGAAGCCGAAAGAGGTGAAGGAAGTTGTTTTACATTGGAAAGGTGGCACGTCCTTGTCGAAAACGTTTGCCGATCTCTATACGATAAGAAAGGCATACCCAGCATTTTCCGTTCAAGAAAAGCGCTGCAACATGTCGATGATCCCGCGACGGACGTCAAGTGGTACGCTTCGCTACTCGACGGAATGAAGCAGCATGAGAAACTTAAGAAGCTCACTGGAAAGATGCAGAAAGTGCGTTCCAAGCAATTACCATTAAGGACCATGTTGATATCAGTGAACACGTGCGTCGCTTGGGTCGTGGTGAAGCTCACCAATGACGGACCTCCCTGAAGATGATCCCACTTATCGCGCTTATAGAGCCTTCGCCTTCGAGTATGCAGCCACTCCGGTTAACGAAGAGAAGATTTTGCTTCTGAGGTATTCGTAAATTTATTGACATTGTTGTTTGTTGAAACATGCGCCCGGTTTGATAGGGTGCGAGATTCCATTGTTTGTTGGCAATCGTGCAAACTTACCACTCGATCTTCTTTTTCTGTCGCGTTTCATTGTTTCCACTTTATAGCATTTACCCAATTTAGCTCAGTCTTCTTCCTACCATGGCAAGTAGTCCGCTTTCACCCCTACGCCATTGTTGACCAAAAGCCATCGCAGATATGCGAGAATAAGGGTCAGTCATGATGGATCGTCTTGCGTGTTCAATTCATTGTGTGCTCTATCAATACGCGGCCGTCTATGATATTGTCTTGTCTCAACCCTTAACGTGCCTATCTCTCATGATTCACTACTGTCACAACAATGTGAAGTATTTAGAGTACTGAATACTTTTTGGCCACGACTGCACTTTTACCGTGTGACTGTCAAGTGATAGAAGTAATGAATGGTGCTAAACAGAACTTTTGTGTTGTAATTATAAATAAGCAATCCATCATGTTGCAGCAAAGGAAATCTCATGTGTGATCCTAGACATGATAGTGCAGACCCATCAATTCCTACCAGCGAATGTATTACAGCGTTGTAAAGCACGAAGCATCTTGTTCAACTGCGTGTTTGTAGACAAACTCAAGGCCACAAACACCGGTCAGCGTTTTTATTTGCTGATGTGATGCCGAAGCGAAAAAGGGAAGTGATATGTTGGTTTTTTGCGCGCAGATGGAGGTGTAAGCAATGTAATTAAGGTTCCGACAAGCTAATGATTTTGAAAACGAGCACTTGAGATCATGCTGTGTCTTCTGCTACGTGCATGTAAAAGACCAAACGTATACACATTATCAAGTCGAAGCTATCTTTATAGACGTTAACATACATCCGTAATTCTTAATCAACGCTTTGCAACTTGCGACGTTATTGATCTGTCTGCATCCTAGTGCCAATCGCACTGCTGTGTTTCTTGTCCGCTGCAACAGAGCACATCTGACCTTTTCTTGTTTTGTGTTGACGCCGCTCGTAAGCGCGAAGCAATAATTCTAATAGACTACACAAAGATCTCTCTCTACAAGTTGTCCCCAGCCTTAGTGTATTGCTAAAGTGTCGAGTCCAGTGGCTCTCACTCCAAGCGTAAGCAAAGACTCGACAGGTTGTCGTTACTGGCAAAAGTACCAGACGTAAAGGAGGAAAGAGCAATGGATCATTGTCCCCAATTTGGGCAAAGAATCGGCATGGACGCATATGGTCTTCGACATAGCAACGTACACTCAGCGCCTTGGCGTAGTCGAGTTCACTATTACCTCGCTAAGAAGCGTTCCTGTACCAATCCAATATTCCGCGATGATCTAGTGGCCGTGGTTCGGAGAGTTTTGACCGCACTTCAAATCCGAGCTACAATTGCGCGGGTACAGCGTCGACGTCTTCTCAACTTGAATAGTAGTATGTGTGATGCCCATGGAAATCAAGTAGCGCTGAGCAGCGTGCAGGGCCGTTTCAGCATCATCTGACACGAGATGCACGCTGAGCGACGGCAAACCTGCACTCAGTGACCAAATGTGCAAGTCGTGTACCGCCACGACGGACGAGCAGTGACGAAGGCCCCGCTCGATCTCATCTGCGTGAATGCCATCAGGTGTGCCCTCCATCAACACGTGAATACTGTCACGGACAATGCCAACTGTCGTGCCAAGCACGAGCACCGAAAACACGAACGTGGCAATGGGGTCTGCAATTTGCCACTCGGGCTTGTACCACACAAGTGCACCAGCAATGCAGACCCCGACACTCTGAATAAAGTCGCCGAGCGCGTGGATATACGCCGCTTGGACGTTCATGTTCTCCAGCCTCTTCTTGTTCGTCGTCTCGGATACAGCAGCACTCACGCGGGTTTTCCCAGTCTCCAAACTCCCAAGTTCATGGTGACTTCCATGAGAATGGCCGTGGCCATGGTGCAAGTGATCTGCAACATGTCCCGTTTGCTCTGCTTCCTCATCAGCAATAGTGTCACTGCTGCTGCTGCTTGTATTTCCATGACCATGACTGCGACCATGAGTATGACCATGACTGTGATGATGACCGTCTCCTCCTCCGTGACTGTGACCATGTCCTAAGATCTGCATCAGCATCAAGTTCACAAACAGGCCAATGCACGCGACAACAAACATGAGTTTGCCGTTCACGAGCTCCTCTGGATGGGGCTGTAAACACGCAAGGAAGCGCTCGACAGCGGCGTAGACCAAGACGCCCGTGAGGACCCAAATCACGAGCACACTCGTGATGGCGCCAATGACTTCGGCCCGTTGGAAGCCAAAGCTCAGGCGACTGGACGCGGGCAACGTCGTGACCCAAATGGCAAAGAGCGAGATGCAGAAGCCCGCGACGTCCGACAGTAAGTGCGCGGCGTCCGTCATGATGGCGAGACTCCCAGCGACGAAGCCGCCGACCACTTCGGCTGCCATAAAGAGGAGCGAACAGACGCAGGCGAGCTGCAGTTTGTGCTGCGCGCGCTTGGCGCTATCTGTGAGTGGGAGGCGACGCGAGCTTTTAGGCTCGGAGGCGACTGGGAGGTCAAGAAGGAGCGGCATCGCCTCGTTTGGACCAGTAGAAGTGGTGGTGCTACTCCTATTACTACTCCCGCTGTTGTGATTGTGGCTACCAAAGCTCTTGTCGCCCGTCATGGCAAATTGAGTAATGAGCTGCTCGTGGTCTTATTACTTGGTTGACGGTATTAATTTATACAGCCCCAGCCTCGACGTGTGGCCTCGACCACTGTCTGTACGGAAGTCAGTGGGGACGACTTGGAACCTGTCACTCTTGATAGTCCACTGGAACTCGAGATACTGTAGCACAAGCGAGCCACAATCGAGGTCGTAGCTGAACAGGAGCCTCTCATAATTTATATTGCCACCATCCCACGTTGCGCTGATCCACTCTCCTGCCTCTGCCATGGTATGGACTGCAGTGACGAGCCTGCCACCACTCGTTCGAGATTACGCGCGACAAGATGGAGAAAAGGCATGAAGTAGCCAGAGCTCTTCGTCCCGCATGTTCACAGTTCACTGGCTTGAACCTCTTGAAAGTTGATAGTTCATGTGAGTGCTGGGCATTGCGCGTGCTTGGCACACGAGCTAAAGTCTCTTCGCACAATCTGAACTACATGTGATGCCGATCACTTGTCGCTGATCCATGGACGAGGTGGACAGCGGATAGACAAAAGTCGTTCTGATCGCACGCAGTTGCAACACGTCCACATTGTCGTGACCTTTTCATTACGAAGTTAGTCACAGAAGGTGCACCTTGTCCGACGGCGGCGGTTCAACTCATGCCCATGGACGTCATGTGACATCCTGGTATACAACATGCAGGTACTGATGGACCATTAGTGCACTGTGGTAACAGTGTCCTGAGCCCAACGACCGATTTCGTTACGACACGCTTTACGCCACGACAGGATACGAAGCACAATCTGCCAAGCCGCACATGTTGTGGCCACGCGCAATCTGGAAGAAACCATCGATGCCCCACTTGGCACCCCAGCTGTTCTTGACGATCCAATGGTCCTTGCCGTCTTCCACGCCGTAGCCCACAGCAAGCACAGCGTGATTGACATCCTTCTCACCAGAGCGACACTCGCTCGACTCATACACGCCAGACTTGTAAAAGCGAAAGTCCGACACCACTTGAAACGCAATGCTGACAGGGCCGACCGTGCCCACAGCCACCATCAGCTCCACTTCGTCTTGCGACGTGACGTTCACCACCCGATCCACTTGCGCACCCACGTGGTAGGTGTTAAACTTACACTTGCCTTCCTTTGCCTCGTACGGGTACGACTACATGGTATCAAAACCAACAACCGTTAGGTACACCCACAACCCAAAGTGCAGCAAAAATAACCCAGGACAATTTCAGCGACTACGCACGTCTTCCGTGTCCAAGCCGCCATTGTACTTGACGTACTCGAAAGCGTGCGACGGCAGTCCGCCATTGCAGCCATGATTGTCAAAGTCCTGTGCACAATCGAGCAAGTTTTGCTCCGACAGGATGGTAAACTCGCCATGTTTGAGCTTCAGGTGGCTCTCGAGACACCCCGTGGTCGAGAACGACCAGCACGAGCCACACTTGCCTTGGTTCTTCACGGGCGACACGGCTCCCTCCTCTCTCCAGTCCTTCTCACCTGGCACAGGGTCGTACATGACAAAGTCCGCAGTGAATGGAGCGACAGTCGCCGAGCACTCCTGCGGTTTGCCCAAGTACCAGCTCTGGAACTCGTCCCACGTTGTGTCAGCAAACTCATTGAGCTCGAGCCGAAAGGAAGGCGCGTCTTGTCTGCTATTGTGCGCAGCCACGGAGCGTGCATTGACCTCGAAAATGCCGCGCCGAAGCTCATTTTGGCCAATGGAATCGTAGCTCTTGCCGTGCTCAGCTTTCCAGGCATCAAAAAGACGGCGGAGCTCCAGCGACGTGGACGGCACGTGCTCGAGCTCCCACGAGAGTGGCAGCTCCTCTTCTTTTCCTTCGGAGCACTGGAAAATGGTAGGCGGCAGCTCTTTGGCCTCTTGGAGCGAGTAACAGGACGACGGCACAGCCGCGCAGATGCACCAGGCGCAGTGATTGGCCAGACACTTGTCCTTCGTCACGGAACTGTGGCACGGATCGGTTGCTTCGTCTGGATAAAACGAGAACAAGAGATCGAGGAGTTGAGGACTGGGCGAGGTAGAGGCGACGGCAGCGACGAGGGGCAGCGTGAGGGCGACCGCTAGCAGGAGGAAGCGCTTCATCTTGAAGAGGAAGATCGGGGAATGCGATCCTTGGGAGGAGTGATGGGGCAGAGATGGCAGCGATTGGCTGAAAAGAAGCAGGATGGAAGACGGGCGGGCTGTTCAAGGATTTGAGTGTGGTTGACTGCTGGTCGTTTTAAGCGGTAGCGTTAGAAGAGTTACTGGTGTACGGACGGGATCGGATCCTTATTGCGGGCTGCAGTGTGCAAGCGCTCTTATTTGAGTGCGAATCGTCGTCGTAAATTGAAAAGTTTTGACGTAACCTACCTGGTTTTGTCACGTCGAGCAGATTTAGAACTGCAAAATTTACTTGATTGCTTTGAGTCAACTCAAATCTGAGATCAATGCTGTCGTTTCATGTGGTGCACATGACTTCCGGCAGTCACGCGAGACTTGCAGCGTAACCCGACCACCCTCAAGATCTCTCAAACTTGATCGTGATCGCCACCCCCACGCGATCTCGTCATGCCATCCCACGCCACGCCCAAGACCCCCCACATCCTTGACGACGCTAACAATAGCTGCACTGATGAGGACGATGAAGGCCCAGCCCCTCTACCACCGCCTCCAGCAAAAAAGAAGCGCAAACAACTGCCATTTGAAGCCACGTACGTGAGTAACTTGCCAAGCGCAGCCATGTACGAGCGCAGCTTCATGCACCGCGCTACAGTCTCGCACGTGGTCGTAGCGCCCGAGACGCAGTTTATTATCACCGCCAGCGTCGACGGACACGTGAAATTCTGGAAGAAAATGGCGACCTCCATTGAGTTTGTCAAACATTATCAAGCCCACGTGAGCGAAGTGCATGGACTGGCTGTGTCCATTGACGGTTTGCGTCTCTGTAGCTCCTCGGCCGATCGCAGTATCAAGTTCTACGATGTATTAGCTTTCGACATGGTCAACATGATGAGCGTCTCGTTTACACCTGGCGACTGCTGCTGGATCTCAGGGAAAGGGGTTCTCGTGCCAAAGGTCGCCGTGAGTGACAGAGCCGGTCCCGCGATCCGGATCTATACGGCCGAAAGTGCCACCAGTGAGCCCGTTTATGTGGTAAGTCACTTGCACGCGGCGCCCGTGACGGCACTGGCTCTAAATCCTGTCGCCAATTGTGTCATCTCGGCCGATCAGAAAGGCGTGATTGAGTACTGGGATGCAGAGACCTATAAATTACCACAAGTCGCCACGTTTCGGTACAAAAGTGACACGGATTTGTACGAGCTTGCCAAGTGTAAAACGTATGCTACGGCTCTTGATGTCTCGCGGGATGGCACGAAGTTTGTCGTCACGGCCAAAGATCGTCAGATTCGGGTGATACGCTTCGTTACGGGCAAATTGCGGCGTACCTATGACGAGAGTTTGGCCGTTTTTGAAGACGCCCAGGCCGACGAGACGCTGCAGTTGGACGCGATCGACTTTGGTCGTCGAGCAGCTGTTGAGCGAGAATTGGCCGATTCGGACGTCGTGTCGAATTGCATCTTTGATGAGTCAGGATACTTTATCCTCTATGCTACTCTAGCAGGTATCAAAGTGGTGAATATCGAGACGAACAAGGTTGTAAAAGTGCTGGGCAAAGTCGAGAGCTCGGATCGTTTTCTGCGCTTGAGTCTATTCCAGGGCAAAGCGAAAGTCAACACGCAGTTTGACAAGCACCTCAAGACCGCCTCAGGACTCAAGCACGAAGCACAAGTGATGGAGGATGCCGCAAATGAGCGAGACAATATCGATCCGACGCTCTTCTGCACGGCGTTCAAGCGCAACCGCTTTTTTCTTTTTTCAACCCGAGAGCCGGAAGAGGAGGAAGGGGACAATGGCGGCACTGGCCGCGACGTTTTCAACGAGAAACCTACGCTGGAAGAAGCTCAAGTCGCCTCGGAGTCTAGTACTGCCAAGGTGCTTGGCGAGACGGCTGTCATGCACACAACTATGGGAGACATCACGCTTAAGTTGTTTGGCAAGGAGTGTCCGAGGGCTGTGGAAAACTTTTGCACGCATGCGCGCAAGAAATACTACGACAATCTGCTTTTTCACCGCGTGATCAAGAACTTTATGGTGCAAACAGGCGATCCATTGGGGGATGGTACCGGTGGCGAGTCCATTTGGGGAGGCGAGTTCGAAGACGAGTTCCACCGCAGCTTGCGTCACGATCGTCCGTTTACGCTTTCGATGGCTAATGCTGGTCCCAACACGAATGGCTCGCAGTTCTTCATCACGACAGTACCTACGCCGTGGCTGGATAACAAACACACTGTCTTTGGTCGTGTTGAACACGGCAAGGACACTGTTTCCAGCATTGAGGCTGTGAGGGTGGACAAATCAGACAAGCCTCTCATCGACATCAAGATCATTAACATTGACATCTTCTAGTCTTGCAAGTTGGACTGTGAGTTGCTGCTAAGATAATATAGGCAAGGGATGAAGGCTATGTTCGTGTTGGCTGGAGTAGAGCGTCTCGCTCGTGTTGAAACAGCACTTGAACCAGCCCGTCAACCGATCAGTGCTATGTGATACTTTTGCAGCTGGCTGTTAACACATGTACGGCTGAACTGCTTTTTCTTCGCAGTTACCACTAATGTTGTCACTAGTTCATGCTGGTGATAAATGTCTAAGTTTCTGGATGATGTAGCTGCAGTTCGACGAGTATTGACAGCGTGGATCACTGCTATGGCACGTGTTCGGACAAGTGTTTACTACACCTTCGTTCTGTATTCGAGGGATAGGGTCCATTGAAATGCATGTCAGCGGCGTAGGTACGCAATGGTTGATGAGCTTCATCTTGTTTGCTGAACAGGCAGACCGATAATACTTGCAGTGCGCCTACTTACGGTCGTGTGTATCGTGAACCAGCCTTTTCGCAACTTTTCGAAAGTGCTGTACTTCGAGCAGCATTTAGAAGGTGGAAATAGCTTGCGGGTAACAAGACTCTCAGTGTACGAATGTGAGCGTTGAAGGCTATTTTCCACCAGCTGCCCGGGCCATTCAGCTACAGAGCAAAGTCATAAACAATAAATTACCGTGGTAATACAAGTCGTTGTTGTTGACGTCGTGATCACTGTATCGTCAGAGACACGCATCGGGATCACAGTCATTGGGGCAATCTTTCGCGCGGCCAAGGCAGTGTTTACCGCATAAACGGGAATGCTTTGAGTAAAAACTTTATTCCAGCTAATAAAGGCAAAGCTAGAGGCAAACCTGCGTCGATCGGTGAGCTGTTCCATTACTATACCACCCGAAGTAGAAGTTGAGGTCGCGAATGAACATATTTATGACAATGGGGTTAGCCCGCACCGAAGCACGCGTACTTCAATTGAACTTCCGTTGCTCATCGTGATCTCTCGAGGCTATTGTATTATCCAAGATACGTCCAGAGGCTTACACGTTTACTAATGTGTAAACCTTTGTGGTAAAATCCTTCTTCAAGAAAAATCACAACTCGATTGCTGCTTGGACGGATGCACAAGAGGCTTGTAACTAATTGCGAACGCAGCTCGGGATGTGCGCCAGTATATGTAAGAGTGCTACGGGTAGCCGGCCACATAATGATGCAGTCAATCACCATCCGTACTAACGAGATCGCCCCTTTATAAGTCAAGCACCATCACCGATCTGAGGATTAAGTCCTTTATCTGACTCCTGTAGTTCAGCGGTCGTGCTAGCTTTAGCTGAGGCAGGCCTACACTTCTGTTTGCACCACGACTTTTAACTGCACGGTCCACTTCCTCTATCAGCTGTTCAAGTGTGAATAATCCAGACCTGTGTCGTTCGGTATGGCGTCGTGATCGGCTGTTGCTGTTCCATGTTGAATAAAAGCTGGCGTCAGTGTTGAAATAAAGATTGTGATCTCGTTTCTGACGTCCCTTTCTTAAACGATTCGATACGTCTGAATGGGGCTGGAGTGTAGAAAAAAGATGCAGTACTTGATAACATTGTAATAGTGCGACTGCTATTATTTCGCACGATGTTGTCGCACCACGGTCGCCGACGTCATCTTTATCCGGATGAGTCTAGCGTAAGACTCCTCTGTTGCTCGGCTGATAAATGTGTCTTCGCACCTTGTGGTCTTTTTCCATGCAAACTCAACGATTCTTTTTGTCGAAAGTTTACAATAATGTGAAAATAAGATGGCGTCATTGTATACTCCGCGCTGGTCACTTTGCAGGCTCATGAAAGTCATCATGCTGCAAGAGTCAGCAATACCAGTTGACGTCTGTATTTACTGAATTATTCCTGTGTATTTCTACAAAGCGTGTGCTGCCTAACATAAACTAGTGTGATAGAAGTCGCGACGCTTGCAATCACAACGTTGTGTATTTTCATGGAAGCTGGTTTTGCATGCCCATCTTATAAGTGTGTTGCGTTAGCGACGATTGTTTTATCGTGTACTGATTTACATCAGAGCTCGTTGGCAATTGATGAACAACGAGACTACGCGGCAATCGTTTGGGATCCGGGTGGTCTGCAATAGTCGACAAAGCAACGTGCGCCATGTAATTCGTTGCGAATCGAAGCTTATCTCGTGCGGTACTTACTGCTTCTGTGGTTTGCACTCTGCATTTTAGCGTGGATGAAACTGCTCAGACCCTTTTTCTGAATTTATGCGTTCAATTCGACTCTTTTTGTGAAAATATGTGAGTGACGGATTCTAAATACAGTATAACAAAATACACTGAGCAAAATATCTCGTGAATACTGTCCAATCAAAATCATCACCGTGCAGCAGCTGGTCACTGCAACATTTTCATCGCCTCTTAACGTAATTTTGTCTAAAAGATAGCACGCCTACGCATACCGATTCGACAATATCAGCCTGGACATCGCCAAACGAGGACCTCCTTTGGCTAGCAGATGCAGCACGTTCGAGTTCCTCGCGCCTCGCAGGTGCCGGTCCCACCGCCAAACTCTGCACCACTCGAAATCTCTCGCGAGACGAGGCAGCAGCTGCGTGCAGTGCGTCATTGCGCGTATGAGCGATACCAGGAGAACGCCCAGTGGACTAGGGAGCTACTCGAGGGTCCAAAGGCACAAAAAGACGCGGAACCATGTACAAGTCACCCAACAGAGCTGTCTGAAGACTCTTGGAAGCAGCTGGAGGCGAGTAGACAGATGGTGCAGAAGCTGGAAGAGAAATTGAAGCACCAGAGCGAGGCACAGGACGCGGCGCAGCGTCAGTATGTTGAAACAGCACTTGGGTATGAGTTTCTATCGTTTTTTGACAGTTTTATTTGTTTTGCTCTGTTCTGTGGTGGTCGTAGGTTTGATGAAATGATGACGATGTTGAAAAACGCTCATGACGCAGCTGCAGTGGAAGAGTGTGAGGCAAAACTCGCCCAGGACAAGTTGCTGCTGGTGTCGGATCAGCCACGCAAGATGGATATTGTCAGGCTGTAAACTTACAAATATGGCGGTAGTTTGTGTAGAAATTGATCAAAAGGTGAATTGAGCCCGGAAATATAACAGTAGAGAATCAACGCAACGTATAGCTACCGTCGTACACTGTCACTGCCGGGTGTTCTGGTTAAGTAAACAAGAGCTACTCCAGTCCTCGACACAGCTGAGTGTTTGCTGTCTTTTTATCCAATCAGGGCCAAGATTGGTTGCACTTGCCGTCCTGCACGATGGCATCGAACGAGACGAAGTTGCTGGAGCCGTACGCGTACATCAGTCAACTGCCGGGCAAGGGCGTACGTGGCAAGATGATCGGCGCGTTCCAGACGTGGCTCTGTGCACCCGCTGAGACCGTGAGGAGTATCCAAAGCATCGTGGATCAGCTGCACAATGCCAGTCTCCTGTACGTCGCTCTTGTGTAATTATTGTATACATAATGAAGTGTTGCGGTATAAATAGATATATACACATATTGCAATATCGGAAAATAAAACCAAATGTTTGGGTTTTGGCAGAATTGACGATATTGAGGACGATTCGGAGATGAGACGGGGCCAGCCCGTAGCCCATCATATTTTCGGCGTACCAGCCACAATTAATTGTGCCAATTACGTCTATTTCCTGTCGCTGCAAGAGTGTCAAGCACTGGGAAATCCTAAGGCCATGCAAGTTTACACCGACGAGATGCTGAGACTGCATCAAGGCCAAGGCCTGGACATTTTCTGGCGAGATCATTTGCAATGTCCTACAGTTGACGAGTACCTCGAGATGGTGCAAAACAGTGAGTGGAAAGACCAACTGATTTGCGACATGTTTGTTGACAACTTGATGTGAACGACGAGCTCCGTTGTTGTTGTTGTTGTTGTTGTTGTTGTTGTTTCTACATTCCTCGTTTGCGGTAGATCTGGCTAACTTCTCTATCTCTTGTTTATTCAATGCTTTGGTTTGATTTGTACTAGAGACAGGAGGACTTTTTCGGCTTGCAGTGGGGCTAATGCAAGCATTTAGTGACTGTTCACTTGACTTCACGCCGCTCGTGAACGCACTCGCTGTTTACTTTCAAATTCGAGATGACTATATCAATCTACTCGACGCAGCATACATGGAAAACAAGAGCTTCTGCGAAGACCTTACTGAGGGTAAATTCTCGTTTCCGCTCATCGTGGCTATTCGCGAGAACCCGCAGGACACAAGACTGCTGAGTATTTTGAAACAACGCACCAAGAGCAAGAATCTCAAGCAGTATGCCGTGCAGTATTTGCGCGAAACAGGTGCCGTCGAATTCACTCTTGCGAAGCTCAACGAGACAGTGCAGGAGATTCGCAACGAAGTCGCCGCGCTAGGAGGGAATCGAGCACTGGAAGAGATCGTGGATAGTTTGCATGCGACTATAAAATAGGTGATGTGGATTTACTGAACGTGTTTGTCATGAGATTCTTCGATGTCTAGACTGCTGCAATTGGACGTTTAAGTGTCGGGTGGACGCAAATGTGTCGGAATGGTATGAACAACCGAAATCAAATGTGGGAACTGTACGGATGATCCCTTTAGTTACCCTTTCAGTTACCACATGAAAGTGGCATCGAAACTACACGAGTGCCACTAACCGTTACTTTTATCAAGCTGATCACGTGACTGAACTTCAATTGTTTATGAGCTGCTATACCTCCGTCTCGTGTCCTTCAGACGAAGCTGGAATACTCTATGAGCTGACAAATGATTGACATGCAGGTTAGTACATTGACTTAAGTTGTAAAGGCAACAGGCATCTTTATAACGAAGACTGCGTCTCATTTCCTGCTCCAGCATCTCGGTCTGTATGACAAATTGCCAGATGTATAACTGATCGTCTCGAGGCGCCGCGCACAGTTCGTCTGACGGACCACCTCGGAGCCATTATGAAGACGGTCTGCAGTATGCAAACAAGAACTAAAAGGTCTTCTCAAGCATCGTGGGCATGTAGAAGATTTTGCATAAAAACGAGGGGCAGTTAGTAATAGGTAGCATGCGCTACGAACTTGGTACAGCCTTTACATTCAAAGCGCCTGCAAATCATCATACTGATCAGGCGGCGAAAAGCATCGGGCCCACAATCTCTCGATTGCTTTTTTTCCAGCTACGACATGACCAAACTACCAGGCTCATACCTGCGCGGTGTATTTTACAAGTCCGATATGAGCTCGGTACTAAACAAAGTACCAGTCTTGATGCTTGATGCCTTCTATTAGTATGGCAGCGAAAACGGGGCCGGTAGACATAGTAATGTTGTCGTGCCAGCTCGCATGTCAAGTGAACGTCGAGCAGCTTTGGGTAGTCAGGTATTGATACTCTTAGAATACTTACGGCCATTCCATTATATAAATCTGCGGGAAAAAAGGCCTCGAGTGCCGGGAGTGGGCGGGTGCATTTAGTAAAAAAACTCACACTGCTATCAACCGGAGATTCGAGCTTTGACATAAGGCAAAGCGCTTGTGCACAGGCGCACTGCACAAGATCGGAGCAATGGTCTCAACTGTAGCAAGTATTAGACATTTCAAGGACGGGATAGGATGCTTTGACAAGAAATGTGGCGCTCTTTCATCTTGCTAGGGGGCTCGGTGATCAACGCCTCATGCACAAGCTGAAACTGATTCAGCTAAGGCATTTGTATCAGCCAGCGCAGATAGTTCAGATGATCGGGTGCAGTGGGTAACTACATCGGATTCAGTGGTTTTAGTCGTTTTCCGTCTTAGCAGAGTATAAATACTCACCATTTGCCAGAGCTTTACCGGCTAAGAATTGAAATATCGCGCCTGGCACGCTACTCGTGCACCTGTGTTACGAACTTACGATACTATTGCATGATTGTGCCGGATCTGATGAGACGTCAGGTCCTTTGCGACCATTCTGTCGCTAAAAGTCAGCGTGAACTCAAAGGGAGAGCAGACAAGAGCGCATCTGACCCCCAACATCGATTGACCAAGTGACGTCAATTCGAAAAGAGATGCCTAAGGCCTTACAGCTTGAATGACTATCTCTACGGTGTTGAAGAAAATGGTTCTGTTGAGGCAAATCGAGTTGCCACTTCCAGGTGTCTGCACGTTAGTCGTGCAGCTTTCTACGGTTGTGACTCTGTCGTCAGCGTTTGTGCCTGTTCGGGCTGCATCCGTTCTCTTCCTTTGCATAGTAGTCTTCCTCTGCAAGTCGGAAGGCTACATGACAGTCATTGTAAGCGAATGTTTAGGTCTTTGTAAGAGGGGCACTGGACGACGACATCATATGTGTGTCGTGCATGACTAGATGTCACCTATCTAACCCGTGTGCAGTGGAATTTAGTGCTGAGTGCTAAGCAACTCTTATGAGGTAGTTCACACAAGCTGAATCCGAAACCTCAGGCTCTCTGCGTCTTCAAGCGCAGTAAAACACCTCGGTTTCGTGAATGGATCCACATCCAGATCCGTGACGAACGAGTGAGAGAGTGTGACATCTTGTGAACGGACAGACTCACATTCTCATCGTTGACAGCGTGTGTCACTGCCAGATTCTTCCATGGCGAAAGGATCTTGGGGCGGACAGTGGCCACACTGAGTCGTCTTCATCACTTTGTACCTTATTTTCAGACAGTACAGTGTCGACAAGCGTAATCATTGATGCCTGTCATAGTATGATGGGCTAGAGCGACAGGCGAGTTGCATGTATCTTGAGTGAAAGGTCTCTCACCCTCGAGTAAGTGGACAGTAAGCTGCTAGCTGCGTGTCGACTATTACTGGCCGATCAAATATACAAGAGTACGAGGGCACATTCGACATGGTGGTACTACCACTTAGTGTCAAGACGATCTTTTCGTTCGTGGATGGGTTTCCTGTCGCAGGCGGCAACCAGTGACCTGCCTAAGTAACAGCGACGACGATAAGAGCCTTTAGCTGCCGTTAATGAGTTTGCACTTGGAGTTGCAGGAAGCTGCCAGGCCACTTACTTGTAGCCGCGGCTGACATTTCTATACGGCGTAGGAACGTCAGGATGGACCTTCCACCCAAGTTTTCAACTCATTTATATCACGGGGTAGGAGGCGGCTGGCTACCTTCAGGATATCAAAAAGGGCGCGACTTTGCCGACATTTGATGAACGTCATTGCTGATGAACGCGAAGTTGGCAGTCAACTCGGCCGACAAACCCGTTTGAAAATGATGCACGACATCGTTCTCTTTGTAATCAGGCAGTGCTTCAAGTATTACGCACAAGTCAATGAGCCTATTACTCGTGCATATTGTCGTCTCACGCCCTTCCATCCAGCAACTAGAAGTCTGTCACTGGCCTTCGGTATCGCGCTGGACCGGGAAGGGCGGAACGAAGCCGAGGCGGATGCGGAACTACCGCCGAGACATCGTTTTGAGCCTTAGTGGACAATCCCACTATACAGTGCTTGGATTGTTCCGGAGATGCAGACTACTGTCTTGCATTATTTCACGGCGACAAACTACTGCATTACTGTATGTAGACGAGTGCATGACGACTGGGCGACCCCGTCTCGGTCTCCGCTGTCAACCGCTTCCAAGGCACGGCACCTCACGGACGGAGACCCTGACGCTTCAACAACCGGAACCATCAGTTTGGAATTTGCTGCCCGCCTATCGACGTACGAACATGCAGTCCGATGCGAGAGCTCTGATGGAGGACGGGGAGGTGTTCGGTGACATGCAGCAACCTACAGCCGGGTACCTCTTTGCGGAAGAGCTCGACATTCACTTCTTGGCCCTCGAGGAGTTTCACTCGATGCTCCTTCAAGACTCAGCGATCGACACGTCGAACTGCACGCAACCGACAGCTTCAATGGACTGTGTCTCCCCCAGCTCCCCCTCGTCCGTCATGTACCTGCCTCCGTGTGAAGACAGTGACAACACTTGTCCAAGTCCCAAGCACGACCCTTACGCTCCAGCAGTGGTGTTCCCTACTTCCAACACCCACGCGGTTATCAAACCGGAACTCGCACCAACCCAAACGTACCCTCACCCGGTACCCGTGCCCGTCATCCTTGACGATATTGTAACCGACGATGAAGACAAAGAGCGACTTCGACGTCGTCAACGGGGGTACGAAAAACGCTATCGAGGACGCAAACGCGTGAGTACCTTGTGCTTCGTCAGTTCTCAATCGCAGAGCGTGTGCTGTTGGTTTCTTGTGGTACTTCGGTGAAGAGTTCATTAAACCTCTTGTAAAATGCATGTGCTAATCAACCTCCTGTGAACTCCATGTATTGACTTTTGGCACTATTTCTAGCGGGACCTCAAGACGCAGCGGGATATGTGGCTCGCCCTTGAGATGAAGCTGGACGACGCACGCCGGAAAGTCTGTCGACCTTACGTCCGAGTCGAGACGGCCACTGGTGATCTACTGCGGGTACAAGTACTGCTACTGAAGCTCGAAGAGCGTGCGCTCCGGCAAGATCGAATCGCCATGCGGTCCCTCCAGGCCTGGGAAGAGATCTCACGCATCCGCGAGTACTCGGACAAGAACCAGCTGCGCACGGCGAGCGAGTGGCAACACAGCGCTGACAAGGTCATCGGTCGCTGTGCGGTGCTCGGACCGCGTCGGTTTCATCCGTACGCGCCAATGGGTCAGCGCCACTTTATTTGGTAAAGTGGGTGCGACGACGACGACGCAGCAGCACTCATACGGGACGACGAGGGCACAGAGCCGCTCGCCGTCTGAGTCAAAGCTCCTTTTCTTTACGCACTACCTTCATGTTCCACTTTAAGGCGTCAAATGCGACAGAAGTGTCCCCGCGTACACAAAGGGGACGTCGCCACACGAATAAAAAGACGGCCCATTCCCATCGTTTGGTTGGAGGACTGTGGTCGAAGAAACCCAAGCACTGGATCGTCCTACTGGTTGGTCAAGTTCGAGGACCTTCTGAGCACAGTGGGACCGGTGGACCTGTCGTCGCGTCACTGATACGCACCGATCGCGTGACGCGCGTATTTCAGTACATTCCACTCTCCCTCACCTTTGACTTCCACTCAAACAATCCTGTGTCGTCGGCCTCGAGTACTGACATTACAGAAGCAGTGTCGTTGGATTATGGACGCACATGCTGGAGGCACAAAAGGCAGTGTTTGATCACCTGCCAATCAGCGCTTCGGTCCGTAGTCGACCAGGTGCTAAAGTGCACCACTGCGGGCATCTGGACGCGTCATAGGCGGGACTGTCGGAGATTGTCGGGAAATGAGCGCACTTTGACCAGGTTTCGAATGTCCGCGAGTGTCCCCGCAGAGTGGGACGACCACCGGTCATCAAGTGACTCCTGCGATCGAAGTACCGCTTCCTTGCGTCGACGAGATGCAGAAGCTGCTCGCCCCGTGGAAATTTGCATCAAGGCTCTTGGTCCTTGTCGTCTACACTCTCGAGCTCTTCTTTTCACTAGACGACCCCGGAGCTCCCGTGGCTTTGATGCAAAGTGTTGACGTAATAATAACGAAGAGAGTGGACGTGTTCAGCTCCCTCGAGTGTAGCACGCGACGGTCAAGACCTCAGGAGCTGCAAGCTGCGCGTCAACTTCAAGGGGGAGTCCTGTCTGCTTGGTCAATGTCCAGCAGACTCCTCGTGATTTTCTTGGGACAGACTTGGGGTAGAGACCTCCTTTGAATGAACCTGCGCGGCTCCTTCTGCGAGCGACAAGTCGGTCGTCGTTGCAAATAACACACGCACACAGGTGCACGGTCTTCCCATCGAACACTGACACGTATCCAGTGACGGCCATTGACAGCAGTCTCGATCGAACGATCCACGCGCGACACGCGCGTCCCCAGCCTGCCTTCAAACAAGTCTCTGAAGCCAAAGCGACACATCGAGCAGCCAGTCGTTCCCGCTTCGGCATTGACACTTTTGCCTCCTTCTGCCTTTGTCGAGTGACTGTGTACCCCCGACATGATCCAGAACGACCTCGAACTCGCTGCCGTGTGCACGTTTCTCAATGAATTGAGTCTCGACGAGATCATTCGGTGTGGCGGAGGAGCTACAGGCGGCCATTTTGACCGCCACCAACAGGTGTTCCCTGCTTTTCAGACCTCCTGGAGTCGATCGTCCGATTTCCAGTCGGACGAAAGCATTTGCAGCTGGGAGGATGACGACCGTGACAATGACGAACTCGCTCGGGAGTGGTCCATTGCTGGCGTCACGTCGAGTGAAGGGAGCGACAGTGACGACCTCCAGGAGCAACACGCGGTTGCCCACTCTCTGGCCACCACGAAAGCAAAAAGGCTACGGACCGAGTCGCAACGAGAACTTCAGCGGTCGTATGACCGCAAGTTCCGAACGAACAAACGAGTGCGTCGCAGCTCTTCTTCTTTCAGTAGTTTCGGAACGAAAGCTTCGGCTTTGGGCGTTCTACCCATGTTTGGTCCAGGAGTTAGCACTGATTCTAGTTATTTATTGTTTCGGATCGATGAACTTGGTTGTGTGTTTTCAGGCGCGACGACTGGCTGGGTGTGAGACGTTTATCGCAGCCCTGCAAGAGCTCACGGTGTTGATGCAATTTCGTATTGCAAGGACGGAGAAGGAGATTCATCTGCTCTGTCTTGCCAAGAAGAAGGGAGGGATGATATCGACCCACGAGTGTGCGCTGCGTCAATTGGAGCGGAATCAAGGCGTGGTCCAGTGCATTCAGTCGTGTACATCGAGTTGGAGGCAGGAAAAGAGCGGCGAGTTGGGCAAATACTTTCTACGGGACCAGGCGAAAACGATCCAAGCACTGGTGGACAAGCTACTGGATCTCCGGACGAAGTTGGAGGAACTGACGGAGGAACTGCGGTGGCGCGTGGAAGAAGAGACAACAGGCGTCTGGGTCTGAACACTTGGCTCCTCCCCTTCCTGTTTGGTCAATGTTGGCATATCTATAATTGTATGCATGTTTGTATGCAGCGCTGCAGCAGCAGTATGAGTTCGTGCACCGTCGACTCTTCACATACACAACAAGAGTAACAACGTGTTGTACCGAAAGCCGTGCTTTGAATAAATGTTTAATCGCTTTTATTGTCTGTTAAGTCGGCTCGCGTCGCGTGTTTTTCAGTTTTCGCAGGCAGAAACTACCATTGGCCGTTACGCCGAGTCAGTCGACTGTGTTTCCGCGTCTTTACAGCTTTTACCGCGCCCTCCGCGTTGTGGAATGTACCAGCAATGTTTGATAGCAATCCCCCCAACCAGCGTCGCATCCACATCTTCAGTCATGGACCAGCTGTCGTCGAACGTGTTGAAGTTCACCTTCATCCACGTTGGAGAGATACTGAGCGAGAAAAAGCCGTAGGGATAATGTCCAGCTGCCCAGACGTTCTCCACGTAGTCTTCAGCATAGGGCGGAATGCCACTCGGCGACTCATTATGAATACCGCCTCCTGCCCCATTCTCAATGAAATGCGTCTTAAACGCCGTGTAGTCATGTTTCTCACCGTGGGTATGGCCATACATGAAAAGCTGAATGCCCAGGCCATCCAACAACTCCCGCCACTTTTTAGCAGGACCAGGTGCATAGTGGTTGTACGGCGAATAGTGCGTGTTCACAATCTTCCAAGTCGCGTTCGAAGCTGTGGCAGCACGGACGAGTTTCTGTCGCGACTCGGCCCCCCAAGCTTGAAGTTTATCCATACAAGCGTCAAACATGCTACTGTCCCCTCCGGCGCATAGACTGTCACCTCGCTGTACACTTTCGCACGCATCATCGTCTTTGCCAGAGTAGCCGTAACATTGACAGCAGATCTGCTGGGCGCCATGTGTATCGGCATCATTCGTGTCGAGATTAAAGATGTCAATCGTCACGTTGGACACGGGCGAAGTGATCGAGTGCACGTAGAAGTGGTCGGGCATAATCCATCGATTGTCCTGTGGACTCACGTATTGCGACTGCAGCTCAAACTTCTGGTCCAGGGCTGCCAGCAGTTCAGACGTCGACCCACACTCGACGGCCTGCTCACCGTCAGTGCACACGAAGCTTGCACCGCCATAGTCATGGTTACCCATGACATTCACCCAGGGAATGCCCATTAAACTTGGTGCATTGTACTTGTCCTCAAACGTTTGCTGGAATCGGTAAGCTTGATCCGTCACACCGAGCAAGCCGTCCCAATAGAAGTTGTCACCATGGCCAATGACCACGGACGGTCGAGGCTGCAAAGCTCCAGCAGCTTGGCCCAAGAGAATCGATACGTACTCCATCGCATTGTAGTCCAACACAGTAAAGGAACTGCGACGCGAGCAACATGAGCCGCCGTTCTTGGCAATGGTGCGACCCCAGTCTCCAATAGCTAGAGCAGACACGGAATAGGTCTCCGTGAGTGGATCTGTCGTCTCTTCATCCGCTTCGAACGATCCATTCTTAAAATTGTGTAGCTTGTCTTGATCGCGTGGCTTCATCGCCGAGTCCACCTTATTCTCTTCTTCATTGATGTTGCTGCTTGGCTTTGTCGTCGAGGTATGCGAGCTGGTCACAGTCACGGCGACCACGATGACTGCAACAATGACAGCAAGTCCGATGACGACACTGATCACAACCACTTTCTTCTGCATTCTGATCAACAAGTAGGTAGTCGGTTTGACGTACGTTCTCCTAAGAGAGCAAGAAGCACAATGAGAACGTACTGACAAGATGTTGTCCAGAGACTGCTGGGCTTGCAGCATCAATCACTCCATCCGACTTCCATCGGAAATCGCCTGGAAAGTTGTGCCTAACATCGTCACGAGATTAGAGCCCAATATCATACTTTGGCACCGCAGGCGTCTGTACGTGTTCCTTTGTCCACCGTAGCGCCCCATGCGACAACATCGACATCTATCACGGGACATCGCAGAACCATGTCAAATCTTGTCAACTTCAACATCAAAAGACATATCTGAGGTCTTAGTGACGACGAGCAAATGCGACACGAGTCGTAATCATTCGTTCGGATTCAAAGACCGTAATCAAGCTAGTGCTGTATGATCACGTCGTCTAGAACATGATGAAGAGGTCAAGAATCAAATGAGCGACAGGATCAAGACATTCGTTGTCGACAAAACGACATCCTGAAGTTGCCAATTACTTTGTGATCAAGTGGGTTCATTGTAATTGTAGATCTGTCTGGGAAACAAGTCTGATACTCGCGCGCTGCTTTAGCTCACAGAAGAGTCACTCTGTTTGATGCAATACAAAACTCAGATTCTCACTGTTTGCTTCCTGTCGTTTACAGGATGCAAGTCCGTCCAAACGGCCTAAAGCGGAACTTGCATCGGCCATGGAAGACGAAGACGGCAAGTTTGAGATTGAAAGAAGCTGAAAGTCTTCAAAGAAGAGCAATTTATCGATGTGTGCTCACTAGTGCCACCGTGCAAAAGATGAGCATCATGTTATTGGGATACTTGATTACACTTGATGTTGAGTCCGTAGCCACGCTAAATCGACAATTCAAGCACCTTGAGAATTGCAAGCAGCAGGGTTCTTTCGCCAAAAGTTCTTTACTTGAATCACTGACTTCAATGTTCCGAACTTCATTACATTCGTTGCTGCCGTCGTGGTGGAGATCCGTCAGCAAGTAATACAGTCGGCTACGACAGCTATCCCAATCTTAAAAATGGCTTGATACACTTAAGCGAAGCACAATTATAAACTTGGCTGAGATTTCGCTTATGCTGCAGTAGATCAGTCGGGCATTGTGGCTGGAGGCCAATTGGAGTCGGTCTGGCCATTTCCAGCACCACGCACAACCCCCACGCGTAATCAATTCAATATGAAAGTGTGAATGTAGCACTACTTTGGAGCAGATGCCTCGAGCAGGGTCAAGTTCGTAGCGATATCTCTCATTCTGTAAAATTGAGCAGTATATCGCCGTTGTATTTGCGTGTAATGACTACCTCGTTCCTTGTTTCGTTGTGCTAGAATATTAAGGAGCAGGACACATGCGATTGCATTTTCCAGTCAGTATTTTGATTGACCGGTTCCCTCAACCCACCATTTATGTTGTCAGACTCAAGCAGAGGAATATATAGATTAATTTCTGCTGCGCTGCCGCTTGCATGAATTCAGCATTTAAGGTTTCAACGCCTCTATGACACTGTCATCTACACTTTATCGATACAGGTGGCAACACCCAATCCGCAAGATCAAAATATTCAAAAACAACCTTGCTTTGTTAAACGACTCTGAGCTGATGTGTATCGGTAGACTTTACAAAGCGTAAGTTCAAGCGGAATGGAGTATCTCAAACAGAAAGATGCGAATTTATGTGAAACCATGAGTCCTGCTGACGTCGTCGCAGTCAGCCGTGTGACTTACTCATTTATTGCTGAGCGTGAGCAAAGGCAATCGTAAAAAATGGATGGCTGATTTTGTCACTGATGCGAATCTACCACACCTTGTAATCAGAGTGAGGGATCATCACTGCATCTCCTGTCGCTGTACCCACCAGAGACAGTAGTTTGATCCGACATCTTTTATCGGCCTAAGGAAACAAGCACGTGCAAATTGTACAATTGCATGACGATTCAAGGGTTGCATACTGTGATATGTTCGCGGCATTTGTGAGCAGTAGATCATTTTGCTTGCATCACGATTATAAGTGACCATGTGCTTATCAGCACGTTGTTATTCAAAATGTTCACCTTTGCTCATAGCAACCGTAATTTGTTAGTTTTTATCATACAGAAGACACGAGCACTACCTAAAGGAATGGCACAAGCCATCTTGCAAGTGCTTGTGTTTAGTGCGAAATGCTAATTTCATCGACTTTTCTTTTGTTGGTTGCTTTCTCGACACAGCAATTTCCTTGCTATCCATTTGTAGCTCTAGGCTTCAATAAATGAAAACTACCAGAGCAAACAATTTTTGCTGTAAGTATCGTGCACTTTGTTTTTTCAACCCTGCAGCCATTTTTTTTCTGCTACAATGAATCCACCTTTTTTCTAAGCGTGTACTCAAATACACGGTCATCTTTTGTGTAAGCAGTGACGTGAAGCGCGATCGATATAATCGCACAGCGCATACTTCTGAAATTTGGTGGCGTTGCCCAGGACAGCATTTGATTTTTGATTGTTAGGTAAACGTTATCGCGCAAGCAACACAAGTGACTCTTGTCAACTGATTAGTCGATACTTCTAGCTGCAATCGAGGAAAGGCAGTGTTAAGATTGGCTAGCTTTGCCCTAAGACGTGCTTGCATTTGTTATCCGTGGAATCGATATAATGACGCTAATTTACTTCAGTCGGAGTTGATGGTCCGCTCCGGTGTTATTGTTAGCATAGACAGCATAAGTTATTGAAGGCGCAATCAGCAACGTCTGGGTTAAAGAGAGATTAGTATCATTCGTTGTTACCATTTTTGTTTCTCCTCGCAGCGCAGTCACACTCACACCTATACTCAAATATTCGGGATCAGCGAAACGAAAGAGGAGAGTCACGCGTGATACATGGCGAGTCGGACATTGCTCGAGTACGTCTGATTCCCATGACTGGTCTCGAAGAAACGCTCTTCTGCCTTGCATGTAGCAATTCAAACAAGTATGCTGCTGCTGTGTTACAAATACTCGAGCACGGGAGCGCCCGATAATTCCAAGAAAAAAATAGAGCTGCGATCCAGCTCAACACTTATATCCTAAACTTCTTAAATTCACTTTGCAGCTGCAACACCAGCTATGCAGATACTTCGTCACATCCAAGCTGACATTTGTTCATTCTTGCTTTACAGCGAGTGGTTTTCCAGTAACCCTTGAGCTATTTCGGCCAGTGCATGAGCTTCTTTGATCGCTTGCGCTATAGCCGCAATTGTCTCTTGGTTCGCAAAAAGCCCCGCTCCGCTAGGCTTCTTCAAGTGCTGTTTCACCAGCTCCAAATTTCCAGCAATGCGTTGTCCATCGTCCAGAACTCTTGACAGTTGGAGCAAACTCTCGTCTCTCGACATAAAATTGCGCTTCATCTGCTTCTGCAGTCGCTGCAGTGTTGTCCGTGCTCCGACCAGCTCATTGAGTAGTTCTCTCAGATCCTCCTCCTTTTCATTCGTCACGTGCTGCTGTTCTTGCAGTAACGCCATGGCCTTCATGATCTTTTTGCCTCCCACCAACGTCTTTAACACCATATGATCTGCCGGAGTTTTCCCCTTGACCACCAATTTCAACGCAAGTGGCGAAGTCAGTCCCAACACTGCGCTCACTCTTACTTTCACGTCCAAAATGCTTCCAGAGCATGGATAGATCCCGTCGAAGCGGCTCTTGCCCCTGAAAACCTGCACCACTAACACATCATCGTCCAGCTCGTTCACGTCAAAATCTAGAGTTCTAGAGAAAGTTTTCGACGCGACGTTATCAACTGATGGTAGTGATGGAGCACTGAATGACAAAGTTTCAGAGGTCTCTACCGGTTTTACAGCAACTGCTTGCTCGTGAAAAGCTCGATTGCGCAGCAAGAGCAGCTTACAGCCATTCGTAAGGACTGTGGACGTCTCAACGTTGCGGCCTCGAAACACTAAACGCTGAAATTTCGGGTCCACGTCAAACTTTGCAGCGATTTCTGTCTGCAGGAGCTCCAGAGCTTGTGGATCTTGATCTGAGAGACAGATTGACGTCGATTGATTGCCAAAGATGATGGTTACGAGCAGCTCTGACTTGTCCGACATGATCGAGTTTTGGATACTTTTTGTCATGGTTCTTGTCATCAATAGCTTATTTTCGTGGGTGGACCAATCAGTCAGTGACACGAACGACGTGGAAGATCCAGTACTACTCTGTCCCATCTGTTTACAGCCTGAAAAGTTCCGTGAGCTACATGGAAGATGATGACTGGCTAAAAATTAACTCCTTTTTACGGCTGGTCTGTTTGGCATTTCATCACCGCAAACAAGCTATTCGGAGGTATTGGTGGTGAGTGCTCGCTAGCGAAAACGAGCGTGACACCGATCTTCAGCTGCCACATGTTGAGAAGACCTTTTTGTACGCAGAGCGCCTCCCTCATCGTTACTGATTATTTTGGGCTTGTTCTAACTAGTTATGTTCCTTAGAAAGAATGGTTAATCTGAGCCTTGAGAAAGAGTAAAAATGATGCTAAAATAAGTGCTATTTATTGGCTAGTATAATTTGATATTTTAATCATTTTTGACACATTCCGCCAGATTAAATCAAAACCTCACTTCTACTTCCACCAATTCTGCAGCTTTTAGCATTAAAACTGCTGGTGAGATTGTCACGCAGCTTGTTGGGTGGATAAAACATCTTGTTCGAGTGAAATCCAACACCGTTTGAGTTCACTGCGTCAAAAAACCTAAAACCTCGAAAAACGATCAGACAGATACACGGTTATTTCTTCGATATCTGACTTTGATTAAGCTTCAAAAGTTGCACAAAACGCATCAGAATGAGCTCTTTACGCCGGTGCTATCCTCGTCTAAATAAACAGGCTGTGTCAAAAATGCGAGCCAAACGCGTGATCACCCAAAAAGCAAATGGGACAGAGTAGTATGCTCAATAAAGTGCCTGATATAGTAGATACTCTTCTTATTCCGCTATCACATCTTCATATTTTTAGCTGTAGAACTAGCGAGACGATTGTCGTAAAAATGATCAAATTTCCGGTGGGGGATATGAATGTTGTGACGTAGTTTTTTGCATTTTACTGCATTGTTTTGTCGATGCAACTCGTGCTGGTTGCCTGTACCTGCTGGTCCACGCTCCATCGTTTGGTCCGGGAGGCAATATGGCAGGTTCACACTTATTGGTAACGGTGTTGGTTACTGATACTAATGACCATATGTCATGGACGACACTGTGTGATAGTGTGTAACGATGGGATCGACTCATCGTTTTGTTACTAATATTATAGAGTCGATATCGATAGGCTTAGAGTAGTACAACGAGACGAACTAAGGACCTAGCTAGATAACAAATTCACTTTCCATTTTACCTTCTTCTAAGCTCTCCCACCTCAACTCGCTCTTGGCTGTTGCCAAAAGTCAAAAGGTTATGAGCCCAACTACGCCGGATGCGGGCGACATACTCCGCGAAGATAACTACTTCGTGTGGGAGTTCAACGCAAGGATGAGGCTGGCAAAGAAGGGATTGCTAGAGCACCTAGACGCTATGAAGGCCCCAGAAGAAGGAGACGCAAGCGCGTCAACTTGGAAAGTCAACGACATGAAGGCCTTCGCGATTGTGTCCACAATGATCAGCACAAATCTTCAGTCAATGGTGCGCACGGCAGAGACAACGGCAAAAGCATGGGACATACTGAAGACTTTCTTCCTGCGGCAAAGTATGCACAATCGTGTGCAGTTGCGGCGGCAACTACATGAGTTCAAGTTGGCCAAGGGAGGAAGCATCATGGATCACTTCCTGAGATTTGACGAGCTGTGCATGACTATGCAAGCTGTGGGACAAGAGATCTCACAGGATGAGCATTTGGTCATCCTATTGGGTAGTCTAACGAGAGACTATGACCCTATCGTCAAGATAATTGAGAACATGCCCGGAATGACACTGTTTCACGCTAAGGAAATGCTGAGACGGGAGTACGATGGAATGGCGAGGACAGAACACCAAGAAATCGCACTGAAAAGTACGCACACTTCCAAGTACAAGAAAGGTCCGCGCAGACATATGGGGAGATCAAGTTCAAGAGGTGAAAAGTTTTCGGGAAGGTGTTACCGATGTAACAAATATGGGCACAAGCGTCAAGATTGCAAGGCTGAACAAGTGGAGACAGAGCGATCTGGAGAAGAGAGAGCATTTACTGCGTCAAGTCGGACGTCAGCTGGATGGTTATTGGACAGTGGGGCAAGCAGCCACATGTGTCCCGACAGAAATGAGTTTTCGAATTTAAACTCACTGACGGACCCGATCATGATCACCATAGCAGACGGCAGCGAAGTGGAAGCGCAAGGTGTTGGGACAGTGCGCGTGCAACTCAAGACTGGTGAAGTGATCAGGATCGAAGAAACGCTATGGGTGCCGGGCCTAGACCGAAGGCTACTGTCAATATCGGCATTGTCAAAGAGGGGTCTACAAGTGATCTTCTCAGATCTGAGCTGTCAGATCAGAAGTAACACGGAAGTCGTTGCCCAAATACCAAGACGAAACAAGATGTACGTCTTAGAGTGCAGTCCGGCTGAGGTAGCCAACGTTTGCGGAGAGACATCTCAAGAGCAAGAATCAAGTGACGGATCAGGAGCGGCTGATCTACAAGTGTGGCATGCAAGATTAGGTCACCTGTCAACGAAGATGCTCAAGGGTATGGCAGGTTGCGTCAATGGATTAAAGATCAAGAAGAATCAAGGCGTTGAAGATGATATCGAGATCTGCGAAGGGTGCATCATGGGTAAAGCAACCGTCAAGACGTTTCCGAAGTCACCATACGGACACGTGAAAACCAAGGAGGTGTTGCAGTTGGTCCACAGTGATGTCATGGGACCTATGGAATCGAAGTCTCGAGGAGGATCAAGATTTGTCGTGACTTTTATTGATGATTATTCGAGATATATAGTCGCATACTATATTGAGAACAAGTCGGAAGTGACGGATCGCTTTATAGAGTATAAGGCACTTATGGAGAATCAACTGTCCAAGAAGATCAAGTGTATCAGGACGGACAACGGGACGGAATACGTCAACAGACGTTTCTCCGGTGTATGTCGAAAATCTGGTATCATGCATCAGACGACGGTACCCTATTCGCCACAACAGAATGGGCTGGCCGAACGCATGAACAGGACACTGACAGAGCGGGCCAGAGCAATGCTCAGCCATATGCAAGTGGATAAAATTTGGTGGGCTGAGGCGATGAACACGGCAGTCTATGTGACAAACCGAGTTCCATGTGCTAGTCACCCGACTAAAACTCCATTTGAGTTCATCTTCGGGAAGAAGCCTGACCTCTCCGAGATGTGTGTATTTGGATCAAAGGGATATGCACATGTCGACAAGTCGAACAGGACCAAGATGACCAAGAAGGCGATTCGATGTATTTTTCTAGGTTACTCGGATCAAATCAAGGGGCTTCGAATATGGGATGAAGATGCCAAGAGGGTGACGCACACGAGATCGGCTAAATTCGATGAGAGACCACCACTTCAGTACGTGCAACGTTACAGCAGATCAAGTGACCAAGAGTTTCGCGCTGTTCATGACGAAGACACTGTTTCTATCGATTTAGAACAGCCACGAGTCACGAAAGACATGGACATAGCAATGGAGGACAGTCACAGTGTTCAAGAAGAGAGTCACATGCAAGACAGGCGTACAACAACGATGGCTCTACCATCAAGATGCAGTAGCAAGATGCCTGAACACGTGGGTTCCAATGCTGACGATCCAATGTTTGAAATTGATGATGTGACGATGATTGAAGAAGATCAAGAATCGGCTGAAGACGTGTCAAGACAAGGACAGATGGTGATACGACCAAGTCGACAGACAAGTATTCAAGCATCGCAAGAAACCGCGATGGTTCCACTAGAATCGGTTCAACATGGACAATCTCAAGCGTTAATACCAGTGAATGGTGCTGATGAGGACTTTTATGACGGCTCAGAAGTGTGTCAAGAAAAAAGGCACAAAGAGACTACGTATTGGGTATGAGCAAGCATGTGCAGCGTTCGAGACCCCAACGACATACGAAGAAGCTCTTAAGTCACCTCGTCGTGATAATTGGTACAAGGCCATTCAAGCTGAGCTCAAGGCATTAGAGGAAAAGGACACCTGGACTGTTCAAACACAGCGTCCAAACCAGAAAGTGATTGGAACCAAGTGGGTGTTCGCACTCAAACGAAACGAGCTGGGTGAGATTATTCGATACAAGGCACGTCTTGTAGCACTTGGCTACAGGCAGACGTATGGAGTTGACTACATGGAGACATATTCACCTGTGGCAAACCTCAACTCAATACGGGTGTTTTTGGCGGTGTGCTGTCAAAAGGGGATGTTGATTCATCAATATGATGTCGACACTGCTTTTCTGTATGGCGTTTTGGAAGAAGAGGTATACGTATACCCTCCTCTGGGTGTTCGTGCAGAACATAATCAAGTGCTTAAGCTGAATCGCAGTCTGTATGGGCTGAAACAAGCGGCCGCTACATGGTACAAGACAATTTCGTGTGTGTTTGTGGAGATGGGGTTCTCTTCATGCGTGGCAGACTCATGCATTTTCGTCAAAGAGACCAAGGGCTCGTGGATTTACGCTGCATTATATGTGGACGACCTTCTAATTGGGGCTGAATCTACTGGAGTGATGGAAGATGTGGCAGCTCAACTATCAAGTCGTTTCCAGTTGAAGATACTAGGGGGTGTGTTCGATACGTTCTTGGAATCGAAGTCAAGTACCTGCGCAACAATCGACGTCTGAAGATCAGTCAAGGATCGTGTATATCAAGAATGGTCGAGAAATTTAATCAAGTTGATGCGAAAGCAGTGTCAAATCCAAGTGTTGAAGGGCAAGCGATGGTCAAGATGGACAAAGCTGACACAAGAATGAAGAATCGACCGTATCGATCGTTAGTGGGGTCGTTGTTGTATGTGGCAACAGGCACACGACCAGATATTGCGTATACAGTATGTCAGCTGAGTCGTCATTTGGAATTTCCACATGAAGAGCACTGGAATGCAGCGATTCGAGTGTTGCGATATCTGAAGACGACGCAGAGCAAAGGAATTTGTTATGAAGGAGTTTCAGGCAATCTTCAGCTGAGCGCGTACACCGATGCAGACTGGGCAAGTAACAAGTGGAATCGCAGATCGATTTCGGGAGTTTTTATCATGATTAATGGCGCACCTGTGATTTTCAAGTCGAAGATGCAGCAGAGCGTGGCACTGAGCACGGCAGAAGCAGAGTATATGGCTCTTTCTTTATGTGTGCAGGAGGTTCTGTGGACAAGAAGTCTACTCAAGGAGATGCAAGTGCAGATTAACTATGCTGTCAAGATTCACGAAGACAACCAGAGTGCAATCGCTATCGCTAAGAACGACGGCTATCAAAGTCGAGCGAAACATATCGACATCAGATACCATTTTGTGCGCGAACAGGTGAAAGACAAGATTATCGACCTGCAGTATACTGAAACCAAGTCACAGCTGGCAGATTTTCTGACCAAACCGATTTCGACAAAGAAGTTCGAGTCGCTGCTGGACAAGGCCAGGATCAGAGACTTCTAGTCGAGGGGGAGTATTGGTAACGGTGTTGGTTACTGATACTAATGACCATATGTCATGGACGACACTGTGTGATAGTGTGTAACGATGGGATCGACTCATCGTTTTGTTACTAATATTATAGAGTCGATATCGATAGGATTAGAGTAGTACAACGAGACGAACTAAGGACCTAGCTAGATAACAAATTCACTTTCCATTTTACCTTCTTCTAAGCTCTCCCACCTCAACTCGCTCTTGGCTGTTGCCAAAAGTCAAAAACACTGGTCCTATGATCGGTATTTCTGTCCTGTCGGAGTCAAAGTGAACAACTTGTTTTTACTGTATAGAGCAAGAGATATGGACGAGAAGCATTAAGTTGACGCATTTTGCTGTCGACTGTTCACGCTCAGCATGTTTTAACGATGATAACAACACGTTTGTCGGAAGGCATCAAAATACGGAGAGCAGCAGCTTCAGAAATAGCTCAAGATTCTAAGATAGGTACTGATTGATGTCGTGTGTACCTGTTTGCTCGACGTCTGAGTTGTCGCTACAACACCATCAACCGTAATTTTTGATACAGCCTCTGCTAAACTTACCAGCTTGGAAGCCAAAAGTTGTACTGTGAATAAAGTAGATGGTAGTAGACTTTGCAGTATCGCATTTCGATGTAGCTTCGCATTACTCAATTTAATTGATAATGTACATGTTTTGGATCAGCCATGTTATTTTGCACTTGCTTCGATATAAACAAACAGAGACGGCAAGCGCACTCCCGAATTGCTTCTTCGAAATAGTTCTACGGCAATTGGTACGCACAGTGAATTGTTCTCGCGTTCGAAAAAAAAGAAATTCGTCATACATGTAACGGGGCGCCCTGAAGCTTGTACTGGTGACAGTACAAGCTACTTATTCTGATAACAGAATAAGGCGGTGCCTCGTAACTTCACGTACACTCGTACGTGCAGAGGAAGACGGTAAGAAGAAGCGAGTACTTGGTTAGAGTAAAAAGTAGAACTGTATTTATAATAGTTAATGTCTGCAATAAATCACTATTTATCTTCATCTAACTATGTCTAAATACAAATGTGTAAATCAGTTATCTGCTCACCACTCATTGCGTGCGTCTGTCGTGGCGCGTCTTCGTTGGTTGATATAATGGCCTATATCAACCAATTAGGAACTACTTGGAAGTGCTACAGAATATTGTCCTTATGACAATATTCTGAGAATATAACTCTTATAGTTATATTCTATTAACAATTTCTTATAAATTGTTATGTAACGATTCACCCCGTTACATCACCCTCCCCCTTAACCATCAGTCACTTTAGTGACTGATTGACTGAATGGATACTCGTCCCAAATTATTTGGGACAGGCTTTGCACTTGTTGGTCCGAGTCCACTTTCCAACATTTCATCGCATGGTAAACAAGCCCATGCGATGCGCGAGCAAGGCCGCCGAGAGCGCGTCTGCACGTCTCTGTGCGGACGCCGAAGCAGAAACTACAGCAACTGATGTCCCATTGGTTGCTGAATCGACTCAGCCTGTATCACCTGGTGATGCAGGCGCTGGTCATGAAGACACTCGTGTCTTCACAGAGTACGAGCTCGGTGTCTCGTACTCTCCTGATACGGATGACGGATCCGTATCGACGGCAATTGAATCCAAGCCGCCTGCCAAGCGTGGCATGGACGATGCTTTGCGTCGCAGCATCTTTGGTTCATCTGATGAGTCAGATGAACCATCGCCGAAGCGAAGGCGCTCGAGGTCGCGAGACTCGGGGCGCTAATAGTGGTGTCGTTTCTCCAATGGACACCACTTCACAGCGAGGTGCCAGTACTTCTGTCGGCACGTCGCAGGAAGAGCGGGACCGCAATGTGTTGCGTCTCGCTCCAGAAAAGAAGGCATGGATGCCTCCTAAATCTGTCATGGATCACTTGTCGGCGACGACGAGTGATCGTTATCGAACACGATTGTTCGATTCGTCGAGGATTCATCACCTTGACCCCAGCGCGAAAGACTATCGCGCTGAACATGAGTTCTTCATCGATGCTTTCTTCAGACATCGATGGTACAGTGGGAATCACAAACGTGATGGTCCCTCACTACTTCAGGCGTGGAACGCCTACATCCATAACCTCGAGGATGTAGGTCGTGACGCTTGGGAACGACAAACTTATCAAAGCTCGTGATAAGTTTGAAAAGCGAACCCCGACAGGTGCACGCTATAAGCTGCATCGTCTGTCAAGGGAGAAAGGATTACCCTGCCTCTCTTGGGGAGACTCGTGCCCATGTTGTGTGAACAACTCTGCACGAGCACCTAAGGAGGCTTACCTCCTTACCAGCCCGTGGTGGCGCGTACGTGTCTCTACTGAGATGTACGAAGGGATTGACAACCTGAAATCCCTTTACGACCGTGCCGGGAAGACTTTCTCCGGCGGTCCTTCTGCGGCACAGGATGTGTCGCGTCGTACTGCTCGACCAGACCCAGTACGTCAACCATCAATTGGGAGCGGGGCTCCCAAGAATCCCAGGACGGGGGATAGCCGCGCCACCGGACGAGGTAACTCGTCCGACGTCCGTTCACGTCGCGGTGGTTCAACAGCTGCTCTACTAGATAGCGCTGGCCACCGCGAGAGTCCTCTAATGGAGGTGGAGGAGGAGGAAAGACGCTCTCCACACGATCATGTGGATCGGTGTGTTCCCGAGAGCTTCTTTGATCGCGTAACGCAAGGGTTACGCGACGATCTCGAGCATGAGCGGAATAGGCGTCTCCAGATGGTGGACACTGCCTCGAAGCATCGAGCTGAGTTTGCCTTTGCTCAGCTTGAGAACGAGAGATCTCTGACATCTCTTCGTGACGAGCTAAGGGTAGCTCGTGGGATTGTTGATCGGTCTCGGGCTGAGATAACTGCTCTTCAGACCCTTGTTGATGCCCACCATCGGGAGCACAAGGCTCTCTGCGAGATGCTTGAGCGCAAGGGCGTTCTTCATCGGAAGAAGCAGCGTACTGATGGTACGGCTTAAGCCGACCAACGTAAAACGTGGGATGCGTTCGCATCTTACGTGGTAACTCGATCGTGTATGCATTGCCTAGGCGGTGCAATACACGAAATGGGCCAATGTACTTGGGTAGTAGTTTACTGCTGCCCAAGTTAGTCACTACATGTTTTGGTAGATTAACCGTAGACAGTAGGACTAAGTCACCTTTATTAAATAAAAGAGTGTTTGCCCTTCCATTCTTGTCAGCGTTTTGCTTTTGCTTATCCACCGCTTCGGCGATGGAGTCTTGCACAAAACGGACTACCGTTTCACGAGCCAGTATGAACTCATCTGATGACTCGTTAGCTTCAGTGTGCTGTGAGCGCACTGCAGCGACAACAATCGCATCATCTTCTTCGATATCGATGTTATCGATATCGGCATCAAACGCAATGACTTCTTCGTCAGAGCGTGATGAGCGTGAACCAAATCGGTTTTTGCTCGCGCGAGTCCCTCCCCCCCCTTAAACCAGAGTTACACTCTAGTAAGGTGGGTACACGCGGATGGCGCAAGCCATTCACGTAAAACGGTGTATGTGTCGTGGACGCATGCACCGAGTTGTTGATGGCAAACTCTACCATCGGCAAAAACTCACTCCAACTCTTAAAGGAGTGTACGTATCCTCGAAGTATCTCTTCAAGGACACGATTGGCACGTTCCGTCTGACCATCTGACTCTGGATGATCAGATGTTGACATCTTCAAGCGCGTTCCGAGTGATTTGAACACGGAACGCCAGAAATCAGCAGTGAATCGTGGATCTCTGTCTGATACGAGTTCACGGGGCAACCCATGAAGTCGGAAGATGGTGTCAATAAAGACACAAGCACAGCCACTTGCCGTGATTGTCTCTGGTACAGCCACAAGGTGTACCATTTTGCTGAATCTGTCAACAAATACGAGAATACCCGTATTCCCGCGTGCGTCTTTGGGTAACCCGAAGACAAATCCATTGAGATGGATTCCCAGCACTCAGCCGGAACCGGTAGAGGCTGTAAAGGTGCACGCAGTGAAGGACTTGACTTCACTCGTTGGCAGACTTCGCATGCGCGAACATACTTTCGCACAAACTGATACTGGCGGGGCCAGTAAAAGTCTCGACTTACCGTGAGATATGTTTTCTCTCGGCCACGATGTCCTCCTATAGGAGCATCGTGATACTCGAACAT